TAGCATTGGCTGTGTGACATAACTCTTCTAAACTTCAGTTGAATCTGACAAATAGGGATTAAAAATAGCTCCTACCCCATTGGGTTGTCATTAAAGGTTGAATGAGATAATCATGAAATGTACCTGCTGCAGAATTTAGTGCATCCTTTGGGCTCAATAAATCACTATTGTTATTATTATTATTTTAAAGATTTATTTATTTATTTGAGAGAGAGTGAGCATGCATGTGAGTGAGTGAGCGAGCAAGCAGAAAGTGAAAGGGAGAAGGAGAGAAGCAGACTCCATGCTGAGTGTGGAGCCCGATACCAGGAACCAGAGACCACAATCAGAACCGAAATCAGGAGTCGGACACCCAATCAAGCCACCCAGGTGCCCCTATTATTAATATCTAAACCCCTCCCTGGACAAGCTCCCAGACAGCCATCATTCATTCATTCAGCAAATATTTATTAGGCACTTACTATGTGCCAGCCCTCCCAGGGGCTGAGAATACAGCGGGAAAGAAGACAGCCTTGTCCCACACTTCAAGGAGCTGACATTCCTAGGGCAGAGGGGAACTCAGATCTTGTACAAATATGCAAATAAACAAAAGGATTTCAGATAATGATGTTCTAGGAAAAAAAACAAACAAAGTGGCATGATAATAAATGGCTAGAGAGCTACATTGGCTTGTGGGTTCAGGCAAGGCCTCAAAGGAGGTGAGCTTTGAGCTAAATCCTACTGCTGAGAAGCCAATCTTTTGAAGTCCTGGGGAAACATTCAAGGCAAAGGAAACATCAGTGCAAAGGATCTGGGATAGGAATGAGGAGGGTTAGGAGACAGCAACACAAGTCATTAAACTTGAAGGCAGTCCAAGAGCCAGAAGAGAAGTACAAATACTTCAGATAAGAAGTTCTGGGGAACAGGTTGGGCCCCTCCCTTGGACATTCATGCTTCAAACATTTATTGAACATCTAACATGTGATTGTGCGTCAATGGATGACTCAGAAGCAGTCAGGCCCTGATGATGAACTCCCAAGGCATCATGGGAAGCAGACACAGATTTTAAAAAAGATAACTGCAGGCTAAAGCCAAAGGTCATCTGCCTTGGGGCTCCATGAACCTGAGGATTCTTCGCAGTACTTAGGAGAAGAGGATGGTTTTGAACCAGTTGGGATTTACTTATTCAACAAGCATTTTCTTGAGCATTTACACTATGCCAGGCACTATGGGCTGCTGGGGACACAGATGACTCAGTTCTTGTCCCTGTCTGGGGACCTTACATTCTAGTGGGAGAGGCAGATGTCTGAGCATGGTTCTCAAACCTTAAAGTGCCTAGAAATCATTTGAGATACCTCGGAGTGGAGAAGGACTTTAGCTATGACTCAAAGTTGAGAAGCCATAAAAGAAAAGATTATGCATTCAAGTATATTTAAAAAGTATTCTGGGGGCACCAGGGTGGCTCAATCGGTTAAGCGTCTGAGTCTTGATCGCAGCTTGGGTCTTGATCTCAGGGTTGTGAGTTCAAGCCCCTCATTGGGCTCCACACTGGGCATGGAGCCTAGTTAAAAAAAAAAAATGTATTCTGCATGTTCAACTTGTCATACCTGAGCAGAGTTAAATGACATACAAAAAGAAAGCTATATTGCACCTAAAATAGGCAAGATGCTGATCTTCTCTCTCTCTTTCTCCTCCTCTCTTCCTCTCTCCCGACCTCTCTCCCTCTCTCTGTCTCTATCTTTCTCTCCCTCTTCCTCATTCTGTTCTCCCTCCTCAGGGAAATGAAATACAAATGATCCTTAAAAATATGAAAAGACATTTAATCCCACTTATAGAAATAAAAAAAAGAAATAGAAATGCAACATAAAACTACGCAGAGATGTGATTCTTCACTCATCAGACTAGCAAATGTTGTTGGCAAAGCTGTGGGAAAGCAAGGAGTCAGACGCACCCACACATTGTTGGTGAGAATGTAATTGATCTAACCTCTGTGGAAGGCAATGTGTCCAGATCTAACAAAATTACAGACACCATATATTCTTTGACCCAGCAATACCACTTCTGGGATTCCAGACTATAGATCTACTTGCCCATGAATGAAATGATACATATACAAGGTTATTAACTGAAGCTGTTTGTAATAGCAAAATATTGGAAATGATCCAAATGTCCTACAAGAGAGACAGGTTAAATAAATTATCTTATATTCATATAATGGAATAACCCTAGGAAGCAAAAAAAGAAAAAAAACAGTAAGGATGTTCTTTATGTACCGATCTGGGGAAAATCTCCAAGATATATTGTTACATGGAAACAAAAATCAAGGTCTTTAAGTGTGTATAATACAGTACCCTCTGTATTTAAGAAAGAGTAAAATAAGAATATAACTTTACATTTGCTTGTATGTGCTTAAAGAAACTCTGGAAATACACACAACTACACTAAAAAACCCACAAAGTGTTTCCTTGGTTGGGTGGAGTCCGGTGGACTGGGTTGAGACCTGGGAAGATGGGGAGCAGAGTTGAGAGGAGGAGTTTTCACTGCCTATACTTTTTTAAATTGGAGAAGTTTATTTTGATACAATTTGCTTTCACTGTAATCTTATATATTTTATTTTGTACATTCAAAAACTTCATTCTGGGGGCGCCTGGGTGGCTCAGTTGTTAAGCGTCTGCCTTCGGCTCAGGTCATGATCCCAGGGTCCTGGGATCGAGCCCCACATCAGGCTCCCTGCTCCACGGGAAGCCTGTTTCTCCCTCTCCCACTCCCCCTGCTTGTGTTCCTGCTCTCTCTGTGTCTCTTTCTGTCAAATAAATAAATAAAATCTTAAAAAAAAAAAAAAAACAAACTTCATTCTGAGAAAGGTTCCCCAGGCTGCCAAGGATGTCCATGGCACAAAAGCAGTTACAAATCTCTGCTCTAGGGGAGCCTGGCTGGCTCAGTCAGTATGGTATGTGACTCTTGATCTTGGGGTTGTGAGTTCAAACCCCATGTTGGGCATGGAGCCTACTTAAAAAAACAAAACAAACAAAAACAAATTGCTGCTGTAAATGATCACACCTTTCCATTATTGCCCTTCCCTGTGACCATTTGCATTTTAAAATAACAGCTTTGGAGAGCCTGGGTGGCTCAGTCTGTTAAACGTCTGCCTTCGGCTCAGGTCATGATCCCAGGGTCCTGGGATCGAGCCCCGCGTAGGATCCCTGCTTCTCCCTCTGTCCCTCACCCGGCTCATGCTTGCTCTCTCTCTCTCTTTCTCTCAAATAAATAAATAAAATCTTTAAAAAAATAAAATAACAGCTTTATTGAGATATAATTCCCATACGATTAAGTTCACCCTTTTAAGATCTACAATTCAATAGTTTTTAGTATATTCACAAAGTTCTTCAATGATCATTACTATATAATTGTATAATATTTTTATCACCCTCAAAAAGAAACTGCATACCTATTACAATTACTCCCTATTTCCTCCTGTCAACCACTACTCTACTTTTGGTCTTTATAGCTTTGTCTATTCTGGATATTTCATATAAATGGAATAATAAAATATGGGGTCCTTTATGACTAGCTTTTCACTTAGCGTAATATTACCCATGCAGTAATATGTATCCTTCTTCATTGCCAAATAATATTCCATTTATGGAGATGCTACTTTTTTATCCATTCATCAGCTGATGAATATAGGGTTGTTTCCACTTTTTGACTATTATAAGTAATGCTGCTATGAACGTTTGTGTACAAATTTTTTTTAAAGATTTTATTTATTTATTTGCCAGAGAGAGAAAGAGCACAAGCAGGGGGAGCGGCAGGCAGAAGGAGAAGCTGGCTCCCCACCCAGCAGTAAGCCCAATGCAGGCTCTTTTCATGGTGCTGAACGTCTTATCATGTGCTTATTGTGCATAAATTTATTATATTGTTTGATTTCTAAACCACATAAATGCATTACCTAGTCAACATTTTAGATTAAAAATAGTCTAGGGGCGCCTGCGTGGCTCAGTCGTTAAGCGCCTGCCTTCGGCTCAGGTCACGATCCCAGAGTTCTGGGATCGAGCCCTGCATCGGGCTCCCCGCTCAGCGGGAAGCCTGCCTCTCCCCCATCCACTCCCCCTGCTTGTGTTCCTCTCTCACTGTGTCTCTCTCTGTCAAATAAATAAATAAAATCTTAAAAAAAAAAAAGTCTCAGGCCCAACTCTGAAGAATGATCTATTTGGGTAAGGGTAAGGCCCAGAAATATATGTGGGGTTTTTTTAAGATTTTTATTTATTTATTTGACAGAGAGAGACACAGCAAGAGAGGGAACACAAGCAGGGGGAATGGGAGAGGGAGACACAGGCTTCCCGCCGAGCAGGGAGCCCGATGTGGGGCTCGATCCCAGGACCCTGGGATCACGACCTGAGCAGAAAACAGATGCTCAATCAAGTGAGCCACCCAGGTGCCCCATGTGGGTTTTTTTTTTTTTTTAAGATTTATTTATTTATTTGGGAGAGAGAGAGAGAGAGTGCATGCACAAATGAGGGGAGGGCCAGAGGGAAAGGGAGAGAGAATCCTTGAGCAGACTCCCCACTGAGTGCAGAGTCCCACATGGGGCTCGATCCCAGGACCCTGAGACCATGACCTGAGCCAAAATCAAGAGCCAGCCGCTTAACTGACTGAGTCACCTAAGTACCCCCAGATATATATGCTTTTATTTTTATTTATTTTTTTAAACAATAATTTATTGCTCTTTCTTTCCAAAGCTTTGTGAATTTACAAAGAAAAAAAAAAGGATCAGCATTTACAGACTGCTCAGTTCAGGCTAAGAATGCCGAGAGGTGAAAGCCTGGACCACCGTGGCCACTGGGTGTTCACCAGCAGATGTGCATGGACATCTGCAACAAGCTCCCCCAGATTTGTTTACCGCCTTTAGAGATGTTGCGTTCCTTACGCACTATCTCTCAGGACATATGTGGGTCATTAGTCAAGTCACTGGAACAGTACAGAGGTTTTTTGGGTTTGGTTTTGTTTTTTGGCCCTCCAGCTATAAAATGAAATTTTCAGTTCATTTCTGAAAAATAAATTGGTCAATAAATTCATTTTGTTCTGCTTCTACTTTACACAAAGCTTCCTATTCAACCTGATACCTTTCAAGCTGCATTTTCTTTTCTGCTATCAGCGCTTGCAGTTGCTGCTGTCGGGCTTCTCTCTGTTTTGCTATAGATTTGGGCAAGTTCTGAGCACCAGTGGCCTTCATCTTCTCATTTTTTGCTTCTTTTGCAAGGTGGTCAACAAGCTCAAGTAAACCAGCAACTATTTTCTGAAACTGGCCAATTTTTCCCACAGAGTCCTTGTACTCGTCCTTGAGTTCTATGGTCTGCTGGGTAACCTCAGGGTCCAACATGTGCAGCTTGTCCAGCTCATCAAAGTGCAGCCCCGCTTCACTGAGGATGTCCTTGGCCATAGCTGCCAACCCCATGTGGCGGCGGGCTACCGCGCGGGCTGAATCCGGCAGCGGCTTCTCTCCCGGGTCAGCCGCATCTTACCTCGCCCGCCGGCCTCAGCTGCTGCCACCAAAATATATGCCTCTACTAAGAATCCTGGGTGATTAAAAAAAAAAAAATCCTGGGTGATTCTATCACAGATGGTCTTAAACCAGGCTTAACAAATACTGCAACTTACTGAGCAGGAGCCGTGGGAGCTGATGGCGGAGTAGGTGATTTTTGCTGGAGTAATAAGATGGATTCTAAAGGGTCAGCAGAATTTCCAGAGGGCAAGAAAAGATGTTCTAGAGAGTGTACGGGGAGGAGACAGATACAGGCTTACTTTACTTCACTGCGCTTCACTTTATTGAGCTCCACAGATACTGCATTTTTCATAAATTGAAGGCTTGTGGCAGCCCTACATTGAGCAAGTCTATTGGTGCCATTTTTCCAGCAGCATTTGCTCACTTCATGTCTCGGTGTCACATTTTGGTAATTCTTGCAATATTTCAAATTTTTTCATTATTATTTTTTTTATTATGGTGGTCTGTGATCAGTGATCTTTGACGTTACTATTGTAATTGTTTGGCGGCACCACGAACCATGCCTATATAAGACAGAGAACTTCATTGACAAAGGTTGTGTGTTGTGATTGCCCACCAAATGGGCATTTCTCTCCCCATCTCCCTCCTTCTCCTCAGGCCTCCATATTTCCTAAGACTAAACAATATTGAAATTGGGCCAGTTAATAATCCTACAATGGCTTCTAAGTGTTCAAGTGAAAGGAGAATCACAAGTCTCCCACTTTATTTTTTTTTCTTAAGATTTTATTTATTTGAGAGAGAGAGAATGAGAGACAGAGAGCATGAGAGGGAGGAGGGTCAGAGGGAGAAGCAGACTCCCCGCTGAGCAGGGAGCCCCGATGCGGGACTCGATCCGGGGACTCCAGGATTATGACCTGAGCCGAAGGCAGCCGCTTAACCAACTAAGCCACCCAGGCGCCCACAAGTCTCCCACTTTAAATCAAAAGCTAAAAATGATTCAGCGTAGTGAGGAAGGCGCGTTGAAAGTTGAGACAGACTGAAAACTAGGCCTCTTGCACCAAACAGCCAAATTGTGGGTACAAAGGAAAAGTTCTTGGAGGAAAGTAAAAGTGCTACTTCAGTGAATACAGGAATGATAAGAAAGTGAAACAGTCTTACTGCTGACCTAGGGAAAGTTCTAGTAGTCTGGATAAAAGATCAGACCAGCCAGAACATTCCCTTAAGCCAAAGCCTAATCGAGAGCAAGGCCCTAACTCTCTTCAATTCTGTGAAGGTTGAGAGAGGTGAGCAAGCTACAGAAGAGAAATCTGAAGCTAGCAGAGGTGGTTCATGAGAGTTAAGGAATCTCTATAACATCAAAGTGCAAGATAAAGCAGCAAGTAGAAGCTGCAGCAAGCTATCCAGAAGATCTAGCTGAAATCATTAATGAAGGAGGCTACACTAAACAACAGATTTTCAGTGTAGATGAAACAGCCTTCTACTAGACGAAGATACCATCTAGGACTTTCAGAGCTAGAGAGAAGTCAGTGCCTGGCTTCAAAGCTTCAAAGGACAAGCTGACTCTCTTGTTAGGGGCTAATGCAGCTGGTGACTTGCAGTTGAAGCCAGTGCTCATTTGCCAGTCCGGAAGTCCCAGGGCCCTTAAAAGTTATACTAAATCTACTCTGACTGTGGTCTATACATGGAAGAGTAAATCCTGGATGATAGCATATCTGCTTATAATGTGGTTTACTGAATACTTTAAGCCCACTGTTGAGACCCACTGCTTAGAAAAAAAGATTCCTTTCAAAATGTTACCGTTCACTGACAATGCCCCTGGTCACCCAAGAGCTCTGCTAGAGATGTATAATGAGATTAATGTTGTTTTCATGCCTGCTAACACAACATTCATCCTGCAGCCCTTGGATCAGGCAGTCATTTAGACTTTCAAGTCTTATTATTTAAGAAATGCAATCTTCGTGGCATCTGGGTGGCTCAGTAGGGTAAGCATCCCCTTCGGTTCAGGTCGTGATCTCCAGGTTCTGGGATCGAGTTCTGCATCAGGCTCCCTGCTCAGCAGAGAGTCTGCTTGTCCCTCTCCCTCTGCCCCTCCCCCCACTTGTTCTCTCTCTCTCTCAAATAAATAAAATCTTTTAAAAAAAGAAAAGAAAAAAATTGTGTATTTTTAAAGATTTTATTTATTTATTTGATAGAGATAGCACAGATAGGCAGAGCAGCAGGCAGAGCGGCAGGCAGAGGGAGAGGGAGAAGCAGGCTCCCCGCTGAGCAGGAAGCCCAACATGTCCCAGGACCCTGGGATCATGGCCTGAGCCAAAGGCAGCCACTTAACCGACTGAGCCACCCAGACACCCCATAATTCTCTTTTTTCTTTCATAGCCTTGACATTTTTATTTTTTAAATAAGCTCCACACCCAGCCAGCATGGAGCCCACCACGGGCTTGAACTCACCACCCTGAGATCAAGATCTGAGCAGATAACAAGAGACTGGGCTACCCAGGCACCCCCATAGCCTTGACATTTTTAAAAATACAGTCTAGTCCTTCAATTTATCTATCATTGCTTCATGATTAGATTCAGGTTAAATTAAGTATCTTTGGCAGAAATATCACAGAAGTGATGCTGTGTCTTCAGTGTAACAGGAGACAGATGTCAAGTTTGTCTCGGTACTGATCAAGTTAACTTTGATTACTTCGTTAAGGGAGTGCACCCCAGGTTTCTCCACTGTAAAGTTACCATTTTCTCTTTGCAATGATTAAGTAACCCATGGGGAGATATTTTGAGACTGTGTCAATCATGTGTCCTATTGAGAGTTACAGAACCCTTCTCAATATCACTTCCCCATCTGTGAAGTGGGGACAGCGGTGTCTTGAACTCATATTAGAGTTTAAGAAGGTGAAAGTGTTGGGGGCCTGGGTGGCTCAGTCGTTAAGCGTCTGCCTTCGGCTCAGGTCATGATCCTGGAGTCCCGGGATCGAGCCCCGCATCAGGCTCCCTGCTCAGCGGGAAGCCTGCTTCTCTCTCTCCCACTCCCACTGCTTGTGTTCCTGCTCTCGCTGCGTCTCTCTCTGTCAAATAAATAAGTAAAATATTACAAAAAAAAAAGGTAAAAATGCTCAACAGTCTAAGTGATATGGTCCAGTCAGAGAGCAAAAAGATGCCATCCCTACGGATTAATTTCTTGGGCACTCCAAACCGACAGAGGTAAGCCGGGGCCGCGAGAGCGTGCGCGTGCGCGTGCGCGAGGGCGGGACCACAGAGTCGGTCCTCCCGAGACAGAGAGGCCTGAGACAGAGAGGCCGGAAGTTGGCCTCACCGAATCGCGCGGCTGTTAGGGTGGCAAGCCGAGGCGGCGTTATCGGGGTGTGCAGGCAGCTCGGCACGGTAGTGGGTCGGCGTGAGGGGCTCTGGGGTTCTGGGCGGGGATAATGGCATCTCGGGCAGGCCCGCGAGCGGCCGGTACCGACGGCAGCGACTTTCAGCACCGGGAGCGCGTCGCCATGCACTACCAGATGAGGTATGAAGTGAGGCGAGGAGCACGGAGGCCTCTCCCCAGCCAGAGCCCGGAGGGCCTGGAAAGCGACACAGGCCTGGCCTCGGGGTCTTACCCACCCAGCCGGCCCTCGCGCACCTCCTCCCGTGACGGCCCAGGCCCTGTCCCCAATTTCGGGAAGCCCCTTCGCTCCCATAAGCGCCACCCGTGATCCGCCCTGTGCCTTGGGAGGGTCCAGTCCCTGCCTCCTAGGCTCTGGAGTCTTGAGCGATGCTGGCCTTGCTGTGACCTCGGAAACCCAATTTTTAATCGAAACCCACTTTCCTCATCTGTGAAGGGAAGAGCAATCCATTATTTAGGTTTGGGGAAGAATTAGTGAGCTAGTCATTCCTGTAAAGGGTCTGCCCAATACATGGTAGCTGTTGTATTTCGGGCCATTTTGGGGAATGTGGACCATAAAGTCCAGCCTTTCCTCGCCTAAAATGAATTTTAGGAACACTCCCATGTAAGGGGTGTTTCAACTTCGGTATTCGTTCAACAAATATTTATTGAGTTTCTACCCATCAGGCATTGTGCTAGGCACTGAGGATATAATAGTAAGCAAAAACAGATCTGGTCTTTGTATGCATGTTATACCTTCAATAAAAAAAAGTTTCTTTAGGGCGCCTGGGTGGCTCAGTTGGTTAAGCGACTGCCTTCGGCTCAGGTCATGATCCTGGAGTCCCGGGATCGAGTCCCGCATCGGGCTCCCTGCTCGGCAGGGAGCCTGCTTCTCCCTCTCCCACTCCCCCTGCTTGTGTTCCCTCTCTCGCTGTGTCTTTCTCTGTCAAATAAATAAATAAATAATTAAAAAAAAAAAAGTTTCTTTAAAAAAGACAAAACTGGTCCCTGCCTTCATGGATCATGAAGTCTACAGGTGACTGGCTTTCCCCCCCTACCTTTCCTCATTTTCTATAATGAATATTTTTAAAATAAAAATATTGAAAAAAAGATTTTCTTTCCTTAAATCCATCAAACTCTCCCAGAATGTTTTTCACATCTTTCCAGAGTTTTGAAGAATGACAAGCTCTTTGGATCTTCATTTCATTCTTATCCTTAGACCCCCACCTAAGAGGATATCACAACCCAAGCAAGTGTTTTGATGACTGTCCGGAGCAGAAACTGCCCTCGGGGGTGTGAAGAGAATACATTTAGGACCTGAGAGAATTAGAATAATGAGAGAAATATGTGTGCTTGCTTTGGCTATAAAATCTAGTCTAGCTTGGGAAGTATGGGCAGCCTGAGTTGATTTTCTTGCTGCCAGTATCTCCTTCCTGTAGGCTATATTCTTATGGTGCGATCAAAGTCATCTCTCTAAACACAGCACTGAGTTACTCTTTTGCCTTTAATCTGACTCACTCTTTGCAACTTCACATTCTGCTCTTCCCTTCCCACTACGAAGTATTCCTGCCACACCACCTGCTTTCCTGGAACACAATGCTTATGTCTTTTTGCCTGCATGCTCTTACCTCTGATAATTACCACCCACTCTTCAGAGCCTATCTCAAATATCCCTGTCCTCTAGATAGCCTTCTCAGACATCCCATCCTAAGCTGAACTGATTACTCCTTCCTGTGATATTCATATATCTGGCAACCTATATTTACTAGAGCTCTTCCAGTTCATTTTCTAATTATTTTTTCTTTTTATTTTTTTAAGTAGACTCCATGCTTAGCGTGGAGCCCAACGCGGGTCTTAAACTCACAACCCTGAGATCAAGACCTGAGCTGAGATCAAGAGTCAGACGCTTAACTGACTGAGCCACCCAGACACCCCTTATTTTTTCTTTTGTTCCTTGTCCCCAAGCGTCCAGGCAGGGACTATATCTTACTCATGTTTGTAACCCAGTGTCCAGTATAGTTGCCTGGCATATAGCTGGTGGTCAGAAAATTTTGAATGAAAGGTCCTTCTTCTGCTCTGCCCCACAGTGTGACTCTCAAGTATGAAATCAAGAAGCTGATCTACGTGCATCTGGTCATATGGCTGCTGCTGGTTGCCAAGATGAGCGTGGGACACCTGAGGCTATTGTCACATGATCAGGTGGCCATGCCCTATCAGTGGGAATACCCATATTTGCTGAGCATTGTGCCCTCTCTCTTGGGCCTCCTCTCCTTCCCTCGAAACAACATTAGCTACCTGGTGCTCTCCATGATCAGCATGGGGCTCTTTTCCATAGCTCCCCTCATTTATGGCAGCATGGAGATGTTCCCCGCTGCACAGCAGCTCTACCGCCATGGAAAGGCTTACCGCTTCCTCTTTGGTTTTTCTGCCGTCTCTGTCATGTACCTGGTGTTGGTGCTGGCGGTTCAAGTGCATGCCTGGCAGTTATACTACAGCAAGAAGCTCCTAGACTCTTGGTTCACCAGCACACAGGAGAAGAAGCGTAAATGAAGCCTGCCTGACGGACTATTCTGTGGGGTGAAGCCTGGGCCTCTTACTGAGCCTAGTGAGAAGGTAGAGGAGCTGTTCTGAAATTGTTGGTGATTTTGGCAGCTAGTGCAAACCAGGCCCACGTTCTGGAAAGCTCCTGTTGCCACCAGCTGAGGTGGCAAAACTATATTTAATTTATTCCTGGTTGGCTGGAACTGGGTGATCAACAACTATAAAGCAAACTTCAACTGGTTGAAGTTGAGGCCCTTCAGGGTTTTTCTTTAAGACGGAGTCTCATCCTTGCCTCTTCTTGGTCATTCTTTCCGTTTCCATCCATTACCCCGGAGCCGTCAAGACTGAAAAAGATAGGGAATAAATCAAATTCTACTTTCATCTGTAGGTGGTGGGGCAGGAAACATTTGGGAGGCTCCCCCTGCAGGCTGTGGTCTCTACTGCAAAGCATTTTAATTAAAAAGAACTTCAATAAAATTACAACTGCCTTGTCAACCCTGTGCCTTGTGTTGGAATTTGATAAATTGTGAGAGGTGTGTTGCCTGAGTGGCCGTAGACACAAGGAGGTAGTTAGAAGTTTCCCAAGAAACCTGGAAGTAGCAGTAGAGAAGTGAACTGGGTGTAGGGAACCTAAGTCATAGTAGCAGCCTTGTGGCTGATTGACAGAAACTACCACGGGCCATACATTTAATCTCTCCACCTGTAAAATGGTCCATTCTCATTTACCCTGCTTGGGTTATGGGCTCTTCTAGGATATTCATGTTTATCATTCAGTGTTAACAAATTGTCATTTATGTGTCCAATAATATGGTATCCAAAAGAATTTTAAAGTATCCCTGCATGTAATCTGGGTGAAACATGATATACATGTGAAGCAACTAATAAACACAGTATCTAATGGCGTGGAGCAGATAAGTTAAAAATGGAAGTGGGAAAGAGATGTGTGAACTCAAGTCCCTTTTCACATCTAAAAGTCTGACACAGTAAATGTTTACTGCAGGAAAGATGCATGTCCCTTTGTTCTTGTCCACTTGACTTTATTGTCTCTGGATGATGTCCAGATCTCTAATTGCAGACCTCTGTCCTGTCCAGAGTTCTAGCCATCTTTGTTTGTTTGTCTGTTTTTAGTCCTTTTATTCTATAAACATTAGGTATATACTCGGTCACTCTTAGATACTGGCAGTGCTTATACTGGAGAACCTCTTCCTCTACATGTCCTGACTGTCATCTCAAACTTCGTGTGTCCCAGACTTAACTCCTTGTCTTCTACCTCATACCCATACCTCTTCCTGCATCCCTGTGTGCAAGTGAGTATACCAAAAGCACAGTTCTAGATCATCATCAAATCTCTACTAGGTGCCATTGTTTTTTGAACAATCAAAATACCTTAATCTCTCAGACATTTCCGAGGTGTGATTTCAGTGCACACCAGTATTGTCTCACCATACTCTCACAGTCTCTCAGTCAATAGAACCTCATGAATCCCCATATCACTTTCATGTTTTCCTAGTTTGTTTAAAAATTCCCCTTTTAGACCTTTATATGCCTTTCTTACTTATCCTTCAAGATTCAGTTTATATGGTAATTCAGGAGCCTTCCGGTTGCTTCCATTCAAGGAGTAAGAGTTCTTTGAATCCGTGTGACATTTTTATTTTACCTCTTATTGACAATTATTTGTTGATATGTCTTTTCCTCACCCCTTGCTCGGTACCTGATGCATAGTGTGCACTCTATTGAATGAAGTAACTTGTCCTATTCTAGACCGAAGACAGGATGTATTGCACAGAGGAAAGAATTAGACTGAGGCAGGGGTAGAATTTGGAGAGCAAAGGAAAGCAGATGGAAATGTGTGAGTAATGGAATTACGTGTACCAGGCACAAATTGCTAATTTTCAAAGTATTGGGATGCAAATAATTTTTTTTAAGTTAAACTTTTCTTTGATTATTGGAATGATACTTTACAGTCTTAGAGTGCTTTTGAAGACCCATTATGGAAATTACTGTCAATGCAAAAAAAAAAAAAAAGCCATTTGGTTTATTTTAGTTTTCTTCTTGTTGGGTTATTGGGATTCTGCTTTTCCAATCATTTTTTTCCTGCTTCATGGTTGTAGTGTTAACATTCAGTGTTAACACTACATTCCCTGAAGCAAACAAGATCCCCTTTGAAAGAGATCTTGATTTAGTGGGAAGAATGCTGTATTTGGACGGCGGAAGACGGGTTCGAGTACCAGCACACCTAATCGTATGGCTAAAATCAACACTGCCTATTTCACAGGATTGTTTTGAAGATCAAATAAGGTGAAGTATTATGAAGGTGCTTTGTGAACTATGTAACACTATATAAATGTGAGGAATGGTTGTTCCCTCATGTTTGCAGATTTAGACTATAGGTATTGGAGGGACTCTTAAAGAGCATCTAGTCCATGAGAAAGGGAGTGTGGCATAGTGGAATGAATATAGCTTCTGATATTAGACTGACTTAGGTTGGAATTCTGCCTTTTGCCTTAAGCAAGATACTTGAGTCTCTGATTTTGATCTGACACACGGGGATCATAGTAGCTACTGAGATTGTGAGGATTAAATAATGTATATGAATTGTCGAGTACATAGCAGCTGCTGAGTAAATACCAAAATGCCTTCCCTTGATGAGCATTGTTAACTTTCCCCTTTCAGACTGGGAGTCCCTATCTCCTCTTAGGCATAATCTCTTGCCTTGGAATTCTGGAGGTTGATCCCTACTGGAAGAGCAGAAGTAAGGAAGGAACACTTCGTCCACTCTTGGTTTACATTGGTCTAATGTGTTGGCCCTTCCTGCCTAAGGTGCGCTAACAGGCCCAGTTGCCCCAAGAGACTTTAAGAATCAGCTGTTACAGAAAGAGCCTAGAGATGCTGCTGCATGGTCTGACAAGAGTCCACGTAAGGGTAAGGCTCAAGAAAAACAGCTGTCCAAGGCCCCCACAGTGTGCTCTCTCTCTGAGCATGTGCAGGGGCCTGCCAAGACTTCCGGAGCTCCTGGCTTGGTCCCCAAGTAAAGGTTATTAGAGCATGAAGTCTGAGTTAGCTTGTTCAGACACAAACCACAGGTAAGATAGGCTTCGGCCATCTTCCAAAAAGACAGGGCCTCTGTGCTGCAGTTGGCTTTTATTACAGTTGGCTACCTTGAATTCCAGCCACAGATACTCCTCCCTTGTTGACTCTTGCCAAACAGTTCCTACTAGTCTGGGAGTCTGAACCATTAACTCACTATAATAAGACCTACTTTCCCTTTGTTCTTTTCAACTATTCCAAATTCTTCCTTCACATTGTTAACCCTGCCAACTACATTGCACTGCTAAATCTAGTAATTCTGTGGACTCTAGGGCTCACAAACCCTCTGACTTCTCACAGATCTCCCCAAGCAGTATGTTCTGGCAGACACGGTGCTGAGTCCCAGATCTCCATTTTTGTGTTTGGACAAGTTACTTAAAATTCCTAGTGTTTTCCAGTCTGTAGAATGATTTAAAAAGACTGACCTCAAGGGTTGTAGTACTAATAAAATGGGATAAGTGGGCAAAGCATATGGCCTCCAGTCTGATAGTAAGAGTTTAGCAAATCTTGAACTGATTCCCTGCTCTTTCCCAGATGTGCCTGAATTCGCCTGGAAAATTAATTACCCTAAATCTTTTTTTAGGCTCCACAATCAATAATCAATAGGCACAATCAATAGGCAAACCAGCAAGACAATAAATAAAGCACAAACCTTTTCTCTCTTCTTTCCCCCTTTCTTCCTCTCCTTAATTCCTTTTCCTTTTCTATGCTCTCATTTTCTTCCCTTTCTATTCTTTTTTTCTTTTGTATGTGTGAATGTGGGACACTTTATTTCTTTTCTGCTTCTCCTACCATACCTTAGCCAGGGTCAGGAGCAATTAAGGAAATATTTTCAGTGACAGATCAGAAAATACAAGAGGTCAAGAAAGAGAATTATTCTAGGGATGCCTGGGTGGCTCAGTTGGTTAAGTGTCTGCCTTCGGCTTGGGTCATGATCCCAGCCAGGGTCCTGGGATTGAGCCCCACGTCTGGCTCCCTACTCAGTGGGGAGCCTGCATCTCCCTCTGCCCCTCCACCCCCACCCGTGTTCTCTCTCTCTCTCAAATAAATGGATGAAATCTTTAAAAAAAAAAAAAGAAAGAAGTATTCTAGAATGGAACCAAGTTTCTCACTTCATGCCCTCAGCATTGAAAAATGCATTATTTATGTAGATCTAAACCACTGTGGGTTAGGTAAAATTGAGGGGGAAGAGTCCCTAACCATTCTTAGTATGGCCAGACCACCCTTTTCTTCCTTTGTATCTTACTGATCTATTTTCAAAGTGATGGGCTCCGAGGCCAAAACACAGAACTGTGCCAGGCAAAGCCTTTTGGGTTCCCAGGAGCAGAAGGAGGTGAGGCGGTGGGAAAAGAAACCATAGGTTGGTAGAAAGAGAAATGAACTATGCGAAGTGGCAGAATTGGAGCTCTCTGGGCTAGAGACCTTGACAAAGTCACTCTTCTTTCTGCTTCCTGATTCCTCTCTTTACTAAATGAAAAGAAAAATTCTCACTTACCTGTCTCATAAGATGATTAGGTGGATCAAACATGAAAGTGCTTGTAAAATGTGAAGCAGATAAACTGCTGCTTAAATGAAACGTACCATTATTTACAGTTATTCAACTACAAAAACACCTATTTCTTGACATCCACTGCTAGGCATTGGAGAACGTAAAGAATAGGAAAGGGTCCTTATCTTCTAAGGAACTCAAAAGCCAGAGGGTATTTCTAGGATAATGAGTACGATGGGTCTTCAGACAGTGGACCTGAAGACTCAGGACCTAGAATCGGCTTCAGGGAAGCTAGGACCAGGCTACTGAAAGGTGCAGAGGGACAATAACAATATCAAAATGACTTAACCCCGTACGTGTGCCCCAAACTTGCTTTCTATGTGTGTCACCAAGGTAAGGACAGAAGCAGCTCAAACGCTCCATGAGCAGGAGGAAGCTGTGGGATGATGGGGAGGGTCCCCACAAAGCCTGGAGCCTCGTCAGCATCGGAAACCACAGGAAACCAGGTCAGTGCGTGGGGCCTGCTCCCTCAGCTCCAGGGCTCAGCTATGTGCTCTGGGGCTTCCTGAGCAGATGGTACTGATTAGGGGATCCTTGAAGCTGGAGGCCCCTTTGGCATGGAGCCCTTTGCCCAGAAGAGCTGGGTGGAGACAGAAAGCTGGGCTATAGTCTTGAGGGTCAGCCAGGTGGGGAGTAGGATGCATATGGGGGCATGTGAGGTTTATGTGCATCCTACAGTGACTTTTTGTTGCTCTGCTCAACTCTAAATGGTGCCTCAGTCACCTCTGTCTCCAGACCCCATTGTAGAATAGTGCTTAATAGTTCCGTTAATTCTCTAAGTGAGGGGATGAAGCAAATCTCCAACGAAGTTCCAAGTCCAAGAGCGTTAGTGGGCGGGTCAGATCTGCAGGGTGTTGCAGGAGTAGGAGGGGTTAAGAAGTGGGGACAGCCCTCCATCCCCCTAACCCTGTGCTGGCCTCTTTCCTGTTATTTCTCTGCCAGAGCAGGAGCCCTTTGCCCTCCAAGTGGGAGCAGTAGGGCTTTCTGGGGGGCAACCGTCCTTCTGTCCCTCCACTAGGAGAAGAAGGAATGTGGCCTGGCTGGCTGGTTAGGATCTAGGATGGAGGAGGAGCTTTGGGGCAGGGCGGGGCAGGGGCAGGCAGAGACGAAGACTCCTGCTCGCTGCCCTCCCCGCAGCTGCACAGCAAGGGCCCGCTGCCCACCTTCGGGCTGTGCAGCCATGTTCTGGGCGCTCTGACCCCACGGAAGTCCATGGGGAGCCCCAGATGGGCAGCTTCGCTCCTGCTTCTCCTCCTGCTCCTCATTGGCCTCTCTGCCTTGGCCGGAATTGGCTGCCCCTACCTGCCCCGCTGGAGCACCCACTGTCTGCTGGCCTCCCACATGGTAAGGTAATGCTGCCGCTGCCCAGTAGGGACATCTCCCTGCCACAGGCTGGTAAAGCTCCCCACTCTTCTGCCTGTCCTCTCATGTTTCCCAATCCCCTGTGCCCTGGTAGCAGCCCCAGTGTGTCCTCTATCTGGTCTTGAAGGGGTAGCCAAGGTTCTTGTGTGCTGAGGGCCTGGGCAGGGTTGAGCTGGGAAGACAAGAGCCAGAGTGGATGGGCTATTAGGTTATGGGCCTTGGAATTAGGTGATTTGAGGCAAAGACCCCAGGGAGAATCCCCCACCCCCATAGGAATCCCTACTAATAATTCTTCTCTCCTTTCTTGCCCCTACTGGGCCCTGTGCCTTCAGGAAGACACTCTCACTGGTGAGTCTCATTCCCTGCCCTGCTTCTCTTCTGCGTCCCTTTTGTTCCAGATCCCTAGCGAACTTTCCATTCAAATTTTTGGCTCCCAACTTGGGAAGTAGCATATCAAGGAAAAAACACAGGGTTTAGAATCAGTACAAGCCTGGGTTTGCATTGCGTTTCCACCACATACTCCACATGTAGCTGAAGGCAGTGCACTTAGCCCCTCTGACTCCCCGTTTCCCAGGGGTAGAGCAGGGTTGTAGAAATGATTGCACCTCCCCTAAGCTGTGGGGAGGATTAAAGGAGAGACAGGATAACCTCTAGGCACTCGCCCTTAACTGGTTCCTCACTCCTGTCAGTGCTACAACAACAATCTTTCATATCTAATGGTACATTCTGATTTACAAATCATTTTCCCACACGTTACCTCACTTGATCTTGACAACAGTCCTACTTTATAAACGAGGAAGCTGAGGCTTAGAGCAGTCCGTAGCTTGCCCAAAGCCACACATCTCAGCTTCAAGTCCACCTTGTCGGAGGCAGGAGGGACCTCCTTGGATCTTACCATTTGATTTACTTTTCATCTTTCCCAGGAAGGTTTGCCCATATTCCTTGCCATACCCAGTTGGCCTTTCCTGTGTCCCTAAAGCCTTGGTGTGCTCAGCTCTGGCTCTGCCCCTATCTGTGCCTGCATCTGGTGTCAGACCCTTCAGGTATGAAAAACAGCCCTTTGGGCTACTCTCAGTGGAGATGTGAATTAGGGGTTTTTTTTGGGGGGGAGGCCCAGGCTGAGGAAAGTGGGATTTATCATACTAGAACAGATGTCTCTCCTATTGTCAACCTCAACAGAGACAGGTCACCCTAAAATAGCATACCACGAATTATATTCATGGGTTCAGTTGTATCATTTTGTGAAGGTATTTCTCCTTTCCACTGGTATGGATGCTTGAGATTAAATTGTTTTAGTTCTATGAGTTTACTATTATTACATTCTATTTGCAAAGTAAGATCTTTTTTTTAAGATTTTATTTATTTATTTGACAAAGAGAGACACAGCAAAAGAGGGACACAAGCAGGGGGAGTGGGAGAGGGAGAAGCAGGCTTCCCGCTGAGCAGGGAGCCTGATGCGGGGCTCAATCCCAGGACCTTGGGATCATGACCTGAGCCGAAGGCAGACGCCTTAATACTGAGCCACCCAGGCGCCCCGATCTTTCTTATACAACTCTGTATTTTCATTGCCTAGCTCAGTGCCTGGCACATGCTAAATGTCCAAACACTGCTTAAGAATTCACAGTTTCTAATTGTTCACTGTTGTAAATAGTGCTACAATGGACACTTTTGTGTATATATAGCTTTTTCTCTACTTAAGGAATTAGTCTTTTTTTGGCTGTATCATAACTTTCAAGACTAAAGAACTTGATACCATTACAATGCTCCATGATCTGAAATGACTTACTATCTAACATCAGGCCACATTTCCAGGTAGGAGAGGGGCAGTGAAGGGCTGGATAGTAAATATGTCCTTTCCTACACAGGCCTCCGGGAGGGCTGGTTCCACCTCCTGGTGCAGAAATACAAAAAGTCCTATAAGTTCCGGTTCTGTAGGAGACACAAGATGCCAACATCTGCTCAGGTACTCCCCCTGCCAGTTCCAGCCCTGCCCTCCACCCCACAACCCTTTCATTCCCAGCCTCTTGTTTTGTTCTCTAGCCACGTGAAAGGTAGAAAGCATGGCAATGAAGTAGACTATTCTGTCCATTACACAGTTAGCGAAAGCAAGGTCTAAAGATTGAGTGACTTGCCTGTGGTGCCTCAGGTTCCAGAAGCAGGAATAAAAGCCTGATTCCTGGCCTAAGGCCAACCATGTTCTCTGCCTACAGAGGAAGCTGCTGAGTAGCTGTTGCCTGTCTCAGAAGGGTCATCACATCGCTGTCTCCTCCCCAGACATCTCTCACAAGGGGTTGCGCTCTAAAAGGACCCAACCTTCAGATCTAAAGGCATTGGAAGTTCTCCCCAGACCCAGCTCACAAAGGCATGAAGGTAGGCATAGGGTGTGACCAGAGATGGGTGCAGCCAAGTATTGGTGCCTAGGCCTAGGCCAAGAGACAAGGCTACCAGGTCTCTCTTCTCCCCAGGGCCCGAGTTCTCCTTTGATTTGCTGCCTGAGGCACGGGCTATTCAAGTGACCATTCCTCCGGGACCTGAGGTCAGCGTGCGTCTTTGTCACCAGTGGGTACTAGAATGTGAGGAGCTGAGCAGTCCCTTCGACTCCCAGGTATGGACTGTTGTCTCCCTTTAAAAAGCCAGATCACACAGTTCTGGAGCAAAAAGAACGTCCCCATTGTATACATGGGGAGACTAAGGCCCAGAGAGGGACAGTCATTGTCTAAGACCTCCCTACAAGTCCAAAGTGCCTAGCATTAAGCCTTCTTTGGATTAGACAGAAAATGCAGGGGTCCTTGTCACCTAGGAGGAGAGGAAGGGAAAGGGCAAAGAGAGACTTGGAGCAACCATGAATGCCTAGCAGAGAAATGAATACAGCATATATCCCCAGTGAGAAGACCCTCAGCGAGATCCTGGTTGCATTTAGAAGGCTTTTCAGTTCCCCCAAGAAGCGGTCACATCTGTCTTGGTACCCTTCCATCTCCCTCCTTTTGCTGCAGCCCCTCAGAGAATGAGATGTTCCCCATTCACTCAGCCCAGGCCTCATACCCCTCTTCAACCTCCAGTTGCTGTAGATGCCCTGGTATGTGGTTGGTACCATTTGCAGGGACTGAGATGTACCTCAGAGGCTCTCAGCTCTCTTCATTTCTAAATGAAGATCACTGTGATGCTAGTGTTCAGTTAGTTGAGTTAATGCTTCTAGCACCTAGCACCCTACCTGGCATACAGTAGGGGCTCCATAAATGTATCGTCCTTTCCCTATTCTCTCCCTCTCCCCACTCCATATATTGAGATACCTAGAGCAAATAATAGACTACAGAGCAGGGACACGCCCCCCCCCCCCAAAAGGAAATTTCTCAGATAAGAGGAAAAATAGGATGTGTTGGCCAAGGTCCCAGCTTCCTACTGCCCTTGTCCAGGGTACCTAAGCTCTTTATCAGGCCTTTCTTCTCTCCTTTTGCTGCTTCGTCAACAGAAAATTGTGTCTGGGGGCCATGCCGTAGAACTGCCTTATGAATTCCTTCTGCCCTGTCTATGCATAGAGGTGAGCCGAGGAAAAGGTCTGGGTTGTCCATGGCTCCACTTCTAGGTCCCCCAGAGGCACAGTTGGCCAACCGTATCTCCAGTAAGTCAGGTCTTAAAAAGCCTGGGTGCTGAGTTGATGCTTGGGAAGATGGCTACCAGCTTGACTGTGAGCCACACACGGGGTCAGAGATGGAAGTGTCCTGCTGAACATGAGATATTTGGGGTGGGTGATTCCAACCTCAGTCCTACCCGAACCCAGCTTTCCTGGGTTCAGACTGGCCTCAGCCCACAGAGACGGAATACACAGTTGCCTTCACCGTGTGTTCTGAGGAGTCACGGGGGGAGGGGGGACGGGGAGGGCACGTGTGGCTACTGCCACGTCCCGTATGGCTCGTCCCCATGAGCCCTCAATGGCAGTCTCCCACTCCTTACAAAGCTCAGGGGCCTAGCATTAAGATTTTTTTTGGGGGGGGGTGGACAAAGAAAAAAAAAAAAAGATTTTTTTGGACTAGACAGAAAATGCAGGGGACTTTGTCGACCAGGAGGAGACAAAAGGGAAGGTACAGAAGGACACGTGGGGCAGGGAGCAGCTGCCGGGGTGAACAACCCCCCGGGTGTTTGGGCGGCCCAGAGGGAGGGGTCCATACAGGGCATTCCGTGGGAAGCCAGGGAAGCTAAAAGTGGAGGAATGTGGACCTCCCCTCTTTCTGGGGAGGATAGGTTCTCCTGTCGAGGGAGAAGAGGACTCAGCCTCCCATTTACTGATCTTGCTCCTAGACTCTGGTCATGCCCCACCAACCCTCGCCCACACCCTGCACAGCTTCCCGTCCTCCATGCCCCACCGGCTCAGGCAGCTTGCATCAGAGCGAGGTCAAGCCAGGAGTTTCAGGTCTGAGTGATAGAGGAGAAGAATTTCCTATGACCCTCCCCGACTGTTCCCCTGTCTCTTCAGGCATCCTACCTGCAAGAGGACACCGTGAGGCGCAAAAAATGTCCCTTCCGGAACTGGCCTGAAGCCTGTAAGTGCTGCACATGTGCATTCACAGCCTCTCCCAGTCTCTCTTACACACACGCGCACACACATTGCACACCTGTGTTGTGGAGGAAGCCCCCAGAAGGCATGCAGGCATTTTCCCTGGAGCTGGTTGGGGGAAAGGGCTACCGTATCTACCAATCACCTGCCAATAAATCAGAGTATTGAACATTGTACTAGGCGCTGTGAGAGGTTCAGGAATATGAGACCCGGGAGGTAGTGTCCTAAGAGGATGGCCCCAAAGTCCTGGGGTCACACCTCACTTATTCTTCTCTGAACCTCAGTTTCTTCATCAGTAAAGTAGTGATACCTGCCCTGCCTTACTTTCCAACCGTTGATGAGGCTTGCATTCGATATTGGATGTGAAAGTGGCTGGTGATGTCTGAAATGCTCTGTGCATGTTGTCATCCCCAAGTTAAAGAGACAGGGCCCTGAAACACAGCAAATGAATAGCGCAAAGCAGCCTAAAGTCCAGGGCACTGTTAGAATTGAGGACTGGGCTGTAGGCCATGAGCTCAGGAAAGGGAGAAGCCCATGAAGGCAGTCTGATCAGAGGTCTCTTACAGGAGGTGACATGTGAGGTGGGCTCAGAAAAGGGGCAGTATTTCCAAAGGAGAGTAGCAAGGGGAACATCCCTGGTTCTGAGAAGAACCTAAGCAAAGATCTGCAGATTTTGACTTTGGGGAGCAGCAGAGAGCTGGCCAGAATGGAGGCACAGGAAGGAGGTGAGACAATGAAGTAGAAAAGTCATAAAAGGTCTGGAGAAGGCATGCTCATTTATTGGATACCTAGACATACCAGCAACCGTGCTGGGCACCTTCACAAAGTCATCCCCTGGTGCCCCCAGGGATGGGGATGCAAAACGACGCTGAGGCCAAAACAGGGCCCAGGCCTCCCCGGGCCTCACTCTCTGTCCCTGCCTGCCGCCCGCCCAGATGGCTCGGACTTCTGGAAGTCAGTGCACTTTACAGACTACAGCCAGCACAGTCAGATGGTCATGGCCCTGACCCTCCGCTGCCCGCTGAAGCTGGAGGCCTCCCTCTGCCAGAGGCAGGGCTGGCACACCATCTGCAAAGACCTCCCCAATGCCACGGCTCAAGAGTCAGAGGGGGTGAGACAGGCCCCCCCGGGACTTGAGTGGGCAGGGCTGGGGCCCAGGGCCCTGCTCCCTGACTAACCCCCTTCTCCTACCACAGTGGTATGTCTTGGAGGGCGTAGACCTGCACCCCCAGCTCTGCTTCAAGGTACAAGCGTGGGTGACAGTGAATGGGGAGGGGTATGGATGGTTCCTGGAGCTTGCTGACTTGCCATTCTTGGATTTCTCAGTTCTCGTTTGGAAATAGCAGCCATGTTGAATGCCCCCACCGGACTGGTGAGCCGTTAAGTGACCCTGGCTGGGACCCCCTTCCACCATTGAACCCTTACCCAACTGTGACCAAGCCAGACTGGAGCCCTGTTCTGATTTCTCTGGCAACTACAGCCCAGCTCCTATCACCTCCTGCAAACAGAATGTCTCCCATGATGCCCTTTCCCACCCTGGCAGCCCCATCCTGGAATGTTAGCATGGATACCCAGACCCAGCAGCTGGTCCTTCACTTCTCCTCAAGGATTCACGCCACCTTCAGTGCTGCCTGGAGCCAACCAAGCTTGGGGCAGGACAGCTTGGTGCACCCTGTGTACAGCATCAGCCAGGTATGGCCTAGCCAGGCCCCCCCCCACCCCCCTACCCACCCCCCACCCCCCGTCTTGTTGCTCAGAGCACAGCAAGTGGAGGCCAGCAAATATTTAACTTATATCATCTGGTTATTTATTTACTTGATCAGCCTTTTTTTTTTTTTTAAGATTTTATTTATTTATTTGACAGAGAGAGACCAGCAAGAGAGGGAACACAGGGGGGAGAGTGGGGGAGAGGGAGAAGCAGGCTCCCCGCAGAGCAGGGAGCCCAATGTGGGGCTAGATCCCAGGACCCTGGGATCATGACCTGAGCCGAAGGCAGACACTTAACGACTGAGCCACCCAGGCACCCCGATCAGCCTTTTTTCAGCTCGTTCCTCTGCCAGTCAGTGAGGCCTTCCATGGAGCAGTTTCTAATCCTTTTAGTTTCTGAACTTACAGGAGATAAACAGAGGCAAGAGACTGGCCGTCCCACATCCAGCTGTCCTCTGACCCACTCAATCTGTCGCCACATTTTGTACCAATGCCCTCTCTTGAACCCAGCTTTCCTCTACCCCTGTGTTCCTGTTTGTCTCCACAAGGCACTTGGCAGACTTTCCCTGACTATCTTGGGAAGCAGAGCCCCTGGAAGCTGAGGTGCTCTTTGCAGAATACTGTGAACTACTAACAGATTTAACTTTATTATGTGAACTAAGAACAGTTTGACTAGCAGACTCTCTTCTGTGTATCTGATATAAAAACCACAATTAAATATATCCGTCAAACCACAGCGCCAATCTGACTAAGCATGACTAGCTCTTTCCAATTCTTTCTTAAACGCTCACTTGTAGCTTGCTTATTTGTCTTGCATTCTATGAGAGCTCCCAAGCAGATAGGTGGTAGCAAATGTTTAAGAATGTTTAAGATTTAACACCAAGCATTGCTTAAGATTTAAGACAAAGTCCCATGGGATAACCTAAAATTGAGAGCTAAATCCATGGACTCATTTGTTTCTGTGAGCTGGGAGAAGACCACCTTCATTGAGTTCAGCCATGGTTTGAGAGTCACTGTGTTAGCATCTGCTGGATGAAGATTCTGGTCAACTCCCTAACCAACACCCAGAACACAGGGTGGAGCCATATCCTGCCCGTATATAGATGGCAATCAATTCTGTCCAATTTAGCATGCATTTATTGAATCCCTACTCTGTGCCTACCCTGTATTAGGCCCTGGGAGATACAAGAAAAGTATATAACACAGTCTCTGCCCTTAAGGAGTCCACAGTGCAATAATAACTACTACTACTGAAGGAATACACCCTGCACTGTGTATGATAAAGGGTGTTAACATGCATATTCTCATGGGATGCTCTCAATAACCCAGTAAAATAAAGATTATTAGTCCTCATAAACAAATAAAGAAACTGAGGGTCAGGGAGGGAGGGAACCTATCTCCATACAAAGATCACACAGCTAGGAACCACAAAGGCAATAGTTAAGCCTGACTTTTTAAACTGTGGTCTGACTTCACAACTTAGGTTCTTTCCAGTGAACAAGCCATCCCTTCAGATATGCGGGACAGAGAAGGAAGGCAGGTTATATAGTTAGGCTCCTTGGTTTATGCGCTGCTGGAGGACAGAGACAACATCTGTGTGTTCTTATTCAGGGCTTGACGCAAAGTAGACACCCAGAGCATGTTTGTTGATGTGTGCCTGATTGCCTGATCTGGGAATGATCAGTGGGATGCTTGAGAATGAAGCAGGGGGAAGACTTCTTTCTTTTTTTTTTTAAGATTTATTTTGGCGGCGCCTGGGTGGCTCAGTTGTTAAGCGTCTGCCTTTGGCTCAGGTCATGATCCCTGGGTCCTAGGATCGAGCCCTGCGTCAGGCTTCCTGCTCAGTGGGAAGCCTGCTTCTCCCTCTCTTTCTGCCTGCCTCTCCCCCTGCTTGTGCTCTTTCACTCTCTTTCTCAAATAAATAAAGGCAGAGCTAGAAGCAGGCAGAGGGAGAAACAGGTTCCCCTCTGGGCAAGGAGCCCCATGCGGGATTCGATCCCAGGATCCTGGGATCATGACCTGAGCTGAAGGCAGACGCTTAACCCTCTGAGCCACCCAGGCATCCCGGAAGACTTGTTTCTTGTCAGCAGTGGCACTTGGCCTTAAGCCTGGGTAGGATTTGGGTGAGGGGGGTAGGGTAGAAAGGAAGAAGAGTGTGGGCAAAGACTCAGACTGGACAGAGCCAGATTTGACTCTATGGGGACAGTCATTCTGCTCTTTGTTCCCACAGACTCAGGGCTCAAGCCCAGTGACACTAGATCTCATCATTCCCTTCCTGAAGCCAGGGAGCTGTGTCCTGGTAAGGAATCCTGCCCTCACTCTGTACACAGCCCCCTAGCATCTACTCTACAGGTGGCAGATGGGGCAAATCCAGTCTGCAAAAATGTTTGGTTTGGCCAGCATGGTGTTTGAAATTGGAATGAGTTGCTACCATTTAAATATTGGACAGGTCATATTTTAAAAAGCTGATTTCTGGCTTCTCCTGGAAAAATCAGAAAACCTGGTACTCTGTGTCCACATTCAGGCATGGTGACAATGCGCTTGAACTCAGTGGCATCTGATTACTTCATTCAGGGCCTGTGCCTTCCCGGTCCTCATGGACGCCCTGGCCAACTTCAAGTTTATTTTTTGGGTTGCCACTCTTGACCTGTTGTGTGCCCAGCCAGAGCTGGACCAAACACAAACCCTGCGCTGGAGAAATTCCCTATCTAGGGGGACTCCCCTTCTCTGTCCCCACTCAACTTCCCCTGGGAGGAGGGGCTACCCTGGCTCACAGTCGGGGGGCTCTGTGCCCTCAGGTGTGGAGGTCAGATGTTCAGTTTTCCTGGAAGCACCTCTTGTGTCCAGATGGTGAGTTCTTGGGAGAGGAGGGGTGGGATAAAAAGGAGGTTGGGCCCTGAGAAGCCTGGCTTGGCCTCACCCTGCTGGACTCAGTCTCTCATAGACATCTGGGGCTCTTGATCCTGGCACTGCTGGCCCTCGCCACCCTGTTGGGCATTGTTCTGGTCTTCACCCGCCGGCGCCCACTGTCAGGTAAGCTCACTCTGGGGGTAACCTGAGGATTCAGATCTGCCCAGTGCCTAAGCTAGTTGCCCCCCCACCCTTCCCCTGCCTAGGCTCTCTTGCGGAAGAGCCATGCCCCTGCTGCTGCGGCAGGCTCTCTGCTACCCAAGGTGGTGAGCCTCAGGCCCCCTAGTGGTCAGGAGTGGTTAAGGCAGAGCAAAAGTCCCTCTGAGCAGATGGTTCACTGTTCGTGGTCTCTGGGAAGAGACCAGTAAGGCTTAAATCCAGCGGGCGCTGCACCTGCCAAACCTGGCGCCCTAGACCTGGCCCCTTCCGGGCGCTTTTATCTAATTAGGCCAAAGACACCCTATAGGCTAAAGTTGCCTTGGGTACTCACCCCCAGTGCAGATAAGGAACCAGGTGGGGCACCGGATGAGTTAGCCCCAAGGCGGGGAGGAGGGGTAGAATGGGGGTGGAGTAGAGGAGGGGAAGTGCTGGGCTCTCCCTTAGCCCCCCACCCTGTTCATCTGCTGCTCCCGCCCCCAGGCCCTGGCCGAGCGCGGCCGGTGTTGCTCCTGCACGTGGCGGACTCGGAGGCGCAGCGGCGCCTGGTGGGAGCGCTGGCTGAACTGCTGCGGGCGGCGCTGGGCGGCGGGCGCGACGTGATCGTGGACCTGTGGGAGGGGACGCGCGTGGCGCGCGTGGGCCCGCTGCCGTGGCTGTGGGCGGCGCGGGCGCGCGTGGCGCGGGAGCGGGGCACCGTGCTGCTTCTGTGGAGCAGTGCCGGCCCCAGTCCAGCCCGCGCCCGGGATCCCCACTCGGCGCCCCTGCGCGCCCTGCTCCGCGCCGCCCCGCGCCCCCTGCTACTGCTGGCTTACTTCAGTCGCCTCTGTGCCAAGGGCGACATTCCCCCGCCACTGCGCGCCCTGCCCCGCTACCGCCTGCTGCGCGACCTGCCACGCCTGCTGCGGGCGCTAGACGCACGGCCTTCCGCCGAAGCCACCAGCCGAGGCCGCCTCGGGGATCGGCCTTGCCTGCGGGGTCGCCTGGAGCTGTGCCACCGGCTGGAACGCGAGGCCGCCAAATTTTGCCCACCGAGGCTGAGCAGAGGCAGACGTAGGGGTACTGGCTGGATCCCCTGAATGAGCCTTCTACCCTAGAATCCTTGGGGTGCCTCCTCAGGACTACTGGCCAAAAATCCTTATGCTCTGTCTGCTAGCCTGGGAGCAGAGCACCTCCCTCGCTGTCCCAGACCCTTCCCTACGTGTCTAGCTTCTTCCTCCTGTTTACCCTTTCGGAACCAGCAGGGAGAGTCGCTGTTTACTGAGGGCTCCACTGCTCCCAGTTCTGTTGGGGGTGGGGGAATCTTTTCTTCAAAATTCCAGGAAGAGTAGTCTGCACATGCTCCAGTCCAAGCGAGAGAGGTGTGGGACAGAGGTAGGGGAGGCCGGAGCGATGGCCATTCTGAGTGAGGCGTAACTCCAGTGGGGGGAGGGGGAGAGGGGAGAAAACCCCTTTGGTGGGGGGCGGGGCAGGGATACTGCTTTCCCGGACTGGAGCCCTGCCCAGGGGATGGAGGGAGGGAGGGAGCCTGACCCAGGTAAAGAGGTTTTGGCCCTGGGTATCCAGGGCGGAGGTGGGACAGTAGAAACCAAGATCAAGAAAAATGAATAAAGGCCAACATAATGGATAAGCTAAGAGACACGGTGTGCTTCTCTAGGGTGCCCAGGGTACTGAGTTGCAGGAGGGGTCAGCACAGCCCTGCCTGGGGATTGTTATGCCTCTGTTTGTGGGCTCCAGTCTTCCACGTCCACACCCACAACCACATCCTTCACATTCTCACAAGCAAAGCCTCTGAAAAGGCAAAGGAGGACCTGGAAATCTTGATCCTCACTGTGAACAGGTTCAGAAAGGTCCATTTGTCATGCAGCCAGCCCATGGCAACAGCACAAATGGGACCCCTGTCTGCCTGGCTCTGAGTTCTGAGTTCCTTCCCTCCCTACCACACTTGAGCAGAGGCCAGGAAGTGGTGAAAAGCCCACTTTCTGATACCCTTTGTCCCTGCCTTTAGAGCTCCTGTCCCATAAAGGGTCACTGAGTCCCAGGGCAGATGTGTGAAGGGACCGGGGGTGCCCTGTATGAGGGAACCTAATGGGCACCAAAATCCCGGATTCACGGTGGCAGTGGAAATGCCCCAGCATTGCCCAGGCCCTCTTCCTTAGGGACTCCCAAGGTAAGAGCTCCCTCACTCAGCTGTGATGCCGCCACCCTCTTCAGGGGCCCCTCCCAGCCAGGTGTCAGCGGAGAAGGAGGAGGAGGAGAGGGAAAGGAGAGGAGGCCACCACCCCAGTCCAAGGCTGCTGGCTCCCAGGCCTGGTGTTGGTGGGAGGGACAGGGCGGGGCGGGAACAGCCAGCTGCCTGCCGGGAGCCAAACCGAAAGCACTCCGGCTGGACGGGGACAGGATTCAGGACTCCCGGGAGAGGGGGTGCTCAAGCCCGCACTGGGACCCCAGGCTGAAGAGGGATTCCGGCCCCTCGTGCCCACAGGCTTGGGGCTGAGTGGGAGCAGAGGTACCGTGTCTGCCCCCCCCTTTGGGGGGGGCAGGACAGGGCCTTGGGCCTTGGTGCCTCCTGGTACCTGGAAGATGCCTGTGCCTTGGTTCCTGTTGTCCTTGGCACTGGGCCGAAGCCCCATGGTCCTCTCTTTGGAGAAGCTTATGGGGCCTCAGGACACTGCCCGCTGCTCTCCAGTAAGTCTGGGGTACTGGGAGGGTTGGGGACAGCTCAGGGTTCAGTCTGCTGCCTATCGGAGGCCCTAGCCTGGCTCCTGTCACTGTCACTACCACCAGAACTGCCCTGGCTGGTCTGTCTGGTGCTGATGGGATAAGAGAAGAATGGGGAGGGGGCAAGAGCTGGATTTGTCCTCTCCTGGGAGGGGCTTGAATGGGGAGCCCCAGAAGGGTGGGCAGGTATACAAGGCAGGGAAAAAATGGCTAGATTCAGTGGCATAAACTCTGACTTGTCTTTACCTCCTTCCCAGGGCCTTTCCTGCCACCTCTGGGGTGAGTAGCTGTACTTTTGGAAAGGAAAGAACTGCCCAGGTTGGCGGAGGGAGGGGAGATGTTCCAGTTCTCTGCCCCCACCACCCACCCTCAGCCCAGGAAAGAGCCCAAAGCTCCTTGGCCCTCTGGGGGTGTCAGGTGCAACTAACCTCTGGATGATGAATAGCTTCAGCTCCCACCCCACCCTTCGTGCACAGATGGTGACGTGCTCTGCCTGCCTGGGAGCATCGTGTCTGCCCCGGGCCCTGTGCTGGTGCCCACGCGCCTGCAGACAGAGCTGGTGCTGAGGTGCCACCAGGAGACTGACTGTGACCTCTGCGTGCGTGTGGCCATCCACTTGGCTGTGCATGGTGAGCAGGTCATCCCCTAACTGTATGTGCACATGTCAGCGTGTCTGGGATGGGCACAAGGACTGGGGAATCTGTCAGGCGGTCCTGTGCATCCTCAGTGTTCTCCTGGAGAACACCGGCCAAAGGACCCCCAGGTCAGCCTGGTCTCCCTGTCTCCCCCCACCCCCACCCCAAGGCCCCAGGCCTGGCCCCTGCTTCTCAGCACTGGGCTTTCAGGAAGGAAGCCAAGCCCAAAGCCGGCCCAGAGCTGGGGCCTGACCTGGGCCTTGTTCTCGGGTCCTTCTAGGGCACTGGGAAGAGCTTAAAGATGAGGACAAGTTTGGAATAGCAGCTGATCCAGAGCTTGAGGAGCCTAGGAACGGTGAGGAGAACCCGGCTGGCCCAACTGCCCCAAGCCAGGGCCTTGTCTGCGGCCCTGGAGCCTGACCAGTGCCCTGCCCTGTTGCTCACAGCCTTTCTCCAGGCCCAAGTGGTGCTCTCCTTCCAGGCCTACCCCACTGCCCGCTGCGTCCTGCTGGAGGTGCAAGTGCGTGCTGCCCTCGCGCAGCCTGGTCAGTCTGTGGTATGCGAAATAATAATCGTAGCAGTAGCCGTTTTCTAAGTATGATGTCCTGAAGTGCTCTCATGTGCGTGTTATGTCTGTATGCTGACTGGCAGGGCTGTAGGCAAGCCCTTTCCGCCCTTTCCGCCTCTGTTTTCCTGTCTGTAAAACGGGAATAAGAATAATCCTACCTCATATGGCTGTTGTGAGGAAAAGATGAGTTGGTATGTGTAAAACAGCTGATGTAATGCCCAGCACTGAAGGGTCTCAGGAGATTTCATTCTCCCTTTCTTTTGTAATCGTCAGAGGTACACATGAACTAGGCATTATTATTACCCTCATTTTCCAGAGAGAGAAACTGAGGTTGGAGAGGGGAAGGCTGTGGGCTGGATCCACTTCTCTGGACTTCCTGCTATACCATGTCTGCCCTGTGTGTTGACCGTGGTGCAGGGTGTTGGGGCTTCTCCCTACTTCAGGAGGCCACATGTGTTTGGAAGATGTAGCTCCACTTGGGCCAAATCACTCAAACCGTTTGACTTCCCCTCCTGCCCCCAGCTCCCAGCCAATCTCTTCTTGCCTGGAAAATTGTAGAATGGGAGAAAATCTGCTGGTCCACCTCAAAGGGTAGTTGTGAGGACCACTGAGGCATTGGGTGTGGGAAGGGGTGTCCCACATTTGTGTTGGGGTATCTGATCACCTTAGCTTTGGCCACATGATGTGGGACAACAGAGGTGGGGACAGGGACTCAGACAGCTACGGCCCTTATCCCTGCCCAGCTGATACCCCTACTGAGGGTGTGTGCTTTAGAGCTGGGGGCTTTTAAAGGAAACACTAGTGGGAGAATTTGGGGCCTTACAGTATAGAGTCATTGGTTGGGGGAGGAGGTGAGTGGAGTGGTCCACAGAGAAGCTCAGAGCCCTTGGCCCGTATTCTGAGCCCTATACCACCAGCCTTCCGCCACTCCTTTCCTCACAGGGTTCTGTAGTATTTGACTGCTTCGAGGCTGCTCTGGGGGCTGAGGTGCGACTCTGGTCCTACACTCAGCCCAGGTACCAGAAGGAACTCAACCTCACACAACAGTTGCCTGGTAAGTGGCCCCAGAGCCTCAGGGGCCCCAAGTCCTGCCCCTCCCCACCAGTCTCTTTCTCCTCTGGCCACTGCCATTCTGCTTTCACCCCCTTCCTAGTCCCATCCACTCATAGGCAGGGGTCTGAGCTCCCATCTTCCCCAGAATCTGTTCCTCTGTCTCTTCTCCCCAGGTGATATTGCTTCCCAATGCCTGAGGAAGGTGCTTTGGGCACTAGATAGATGGGGTGGTATTTAAGGGACAAGGAGCCCTTCCCAGTGCTCCCCATGGGTTGGATTGCCCCCCTTCTTTCTTTGGCCCCCAGCCCCACTGGAGGCTTTTCTGTGATCTCTCCTCAGACTGCAAGGGGCTTGAAGTCCGGGACAGCATCCAGAGCTGCTGGGGTAGGGGCTATGGCCAGTAGGGCTGGAAGGAGGGAGGGGCAGGGTCTGGAGTGTGAGGGACCCTTGGAGGTGGCTTCAGGTCTGGGCTTGCCACAATCCAGATGCTCATAGCGCTCATTAATTCATCACACATCTGCAGTAGCTCCTACTCTGTGCCAGGCGTTGGGAATATGAAGGTGAATCTCTCACTCTTTATAACAAATGTATTTACTAGTACCAGGGACATCGAGAGGCCCAAAGTATTGTCAAGATTATGGTACACCCCACTATCTACTATATATCAAAATAAAAATAATATTAAATCATAAAATAAGGGCTAGGAAAGTCAAGGCTCTGATGATTTTTCCCAGGCACTATTTGAATTTTATTTTAGCTTTGTTCATTTTTCGTGTTGTATTTTCTTTTTTACTGTGGTATAATACACATACAGAAAAGTGTGTAAAGTGCACTACTTTTAAAGTCCAGCTCAGTTAATTTTTACATATGTATACACTTGCGTAACTATCAAGATATAATCAAGATATAAGCAGTGTTGTTTTTGAACTCTTAAATATTTTTTTTTAAAGATTTTATTTATTTGTCAGAGAGAGAGAGAGCACAAGCAGGGGCAGCAGCAGGCAGAGGGAGAAGCAGGCTCCCCGCTGAACAGAGAGCCTGACGTGGGACTGGATCCCAGGACCCTGGGATCATGACCTCAGCCGAAGGCAGATGCCCAACCAACTGAGCCACCCAGGCACCCCAAACTCTTAAAGTTTTTCAATTTTATTTCCTTTTTCGTTCCTTAAGTTTGGCCTGCCTCTTTGGTAATTCATTAGAGACTACTCAGCACCAGAGCTTTGAGGACACAGATACACATCATGCATCTCATGTCTTCATTCATTCAGTAGACACTGATTCACTTATTCAACAGGATATTTATTGAGTAGTTACTCTGCCCAAGAAATAATCCTAGGCACTGGAGATAAGTCAATAAACAAAACCGACAAAAATCCTTGCCTTACAGAGAGGACATTCTAGATGAGAGTCAGAGTCAGGATAGGGGTGATGGAGGACACAATAAACACATGGAGGTGTAAGCTATGCAATAAGATGTGACTAGTGTGATGGAGAAGATTTGGGGAAAGGAAGGAGGATAAGGGAGTTGGGGGTTGCAGCAGTCAGGGATGGCTTCCCTCTGGTGAGCAAACCCCTGAGGAGGTATGGGAGGAGCCCTGTGGGTATCTGAGGGAAAAGCATTCCATATGCAGAGGGAAGAGCCAGTGCAAAGGGCCTGAAGCAGGAGTATATCTGGTGTGTTTAAGTATGAGCAAAGAGGGCAGCGTGTCTGTGGCAGATTAATTAAGGACAAGAGTGCTAGGAAATGAGGTTAGAGTGGGTAGGGTCTCGCAAGCCATTGTAAGGACTCTGGCTTTTACTCTGGGAGTAATTTGGCAGGGGGTCATCAGAAGGTTCTGAGCAGAGGAGCATGATATATCTTACAGTGGTTACAGGATCCTTCTGGTTGCAGAAGGAGAAGAGTTGTGTCAAGATACTGGGCTGGCTGCTAGGGACAAAGTCTGGTCAGAGATGAGGACACAGGCTGTCACCTCCAGGGGTCTTCCAGTCTCAGGGATATGAAGGAAACTAAAGGGTCAGTCGGAGGGGCATGGCCAGGGGTGGGTATGCAGAAGAGGTGAAGGAAGTCCCCCTCTCTTTGCCTCCCCCCAGCCCTGCCCTGGCTCAGTGTGTCTGCCGATGGCGATGATGTGCACCTGGTGCTGGACGTCTCTGAGGAGCAGCACTTTGGCCTCTCCCTGTACTGGAACCAGGTCCAGGGCCCTACAAAACCCTGGTGGCACAGCAACCTGGTGAGGCCTCCCCCTCCCCAAGTCCACTCCCACTCTAGGCTGAGGCCCATGCTAAGGATGCGAGCGCATTATCAGAGGGGACCCTTGAGGAGGATATAGCGACCCACACCCCAAGCAAGGAACCTTGGTGGCAGCACTGCTGCCTGCCTGGTTTCCTCAACTTTGGCTTCCGGCCTTCCTGCTCCTCATCTTCTCCAACTTCTCGCCTTCTGTTTGTCCCACAGACCGGGCCACAGAACATTACTTTGAACCACACAGACCTGTTTCCCTGCCTTTGTATTCAGGTAAGAGAAGAGTCCAGCTAGGTGCCAGGGGAAGGGGATTGGGGAATTGGTGAGGGGGGTGGCCGTTACCCTCCTTGTCTTGCCATCCTCCATATTCCTCTTTGAGGTCGGAACTGTTGCTCCCTAAGGTGACTAGCCCTTTCCTGACCTTTGCTGTCCTGTCTTCTGCCTGTTGCAGTCTCTGAATGCTCTTCCTGATCCTCTATCCACAGGACTCCTACTTGTTCTTCATGGCCCCATTCAAATGCCACCTCCTCCTTGAAGGCTTCCCGTAATCCTCCAATTGCCTCTTTGTACTCTTCTGGAAAGTAGAGCATGTGCTGTGAACTCAGACAGTTTGAATCCTGACTCTTGCCATTTGCTAACTGTGTGATCTTGTGCAAGTCACTTCACCTCTCTGAGCCTGTTTCTTATTTATAAAATGGAAATAACAATACCAGCCTCATAGGACTGTTAGAAAAGGAAGTATCCAAGCTTCTATATGTTGGCTCTTTCCTCTTCTTCTTCTTTTTTTTTTTTTTAAGATTTTATTTTTAAGTAATCTCTACAGCCAACGTGGGGCTAGAACTTAACAACCTTGAGGTCAGAAGTCACATGTTCTACCAACTGAGCCAGCCAGGCACCTGTCTTTCCTCTTCTGATTGCACATTTAAATGGTGATCAGGTCCCATCTATTTTATCTCTGACATTAATGCCTGTCATTTCCACTGCCTGAAATGCCCTCACTTCTTTTCTATACAACCAAATCCTTCCAGCTCAAATGTTACCTCTTTCCCAAAGCTTTTCCTCAACTGTCTGGCCTCTCCTGTCTTCCAATCTTCTTGCACTTCTATCTTTTCTTGTTCATTTATCACTTCCTTTCTTATTTGGGCACCTGTCTCATTTCTTCTTGCACACAACAGATGCTCAATAAATGAGTGATCAGTTTATTAATTTATACATGTTTTATCCTTACTAACTTTGTAATTTCCTTGAAGGCAAGGAAATAATACCTAATTCAAATTTAGTAACTCCCCTAGAAACTTGCACAATGTCTAGCATGTAGTGGGTGCTAATTAAGTCTGTTAAAGGAATGAATGAATGAATGAAACTCTACTAACTAGCACTGTGATAGAACACATAACAGATGTTCATGAAATGTTTGCTCTGATATAAACATCCCTACTCCCAAGCACAATGCCTGCCACATAGTAGGTGGTCTTAATTAAAAGTTTGCTGAATAGATTAATGTATTATCTGTACTGCTTACCACAGGGCTAAGCACAGAATAGATGTGCTTTAAAAGTTTATTGAAAGAAATGGGGTGCCTGGCTGGTTCAGTTGATAGAGCATGTGACTCTTGATCTCAGGGTCATGAGTTCGAGCCCCACACAGCGGGTATAGGTTACTATATATATATAGTTTACTATATTTATATATGTATATAAACACTTAGCACAGTACCTGGCATATAGTAGGTTCACATAAAGTGACTGTGGATTTATCAACATCCCCACTGCCTACCATGGTGCTTAGACACATAGTAGGTACTCATTAAAGGTCTGTTGAATGAAGGTGTTGCCAGATATTGGTATAGGGTTTGCTGGAAAAATAAATGTGTGCAACTCTAGGGCTTTACAAAGGGCAGAAAGACTGGGCAAGTGTTGATTAAATATTAGTTGAATGAATGCATCCCCAGTGCCTAGCAGAGGGCCTGGCACATACTCTTGGAGGGTCAGCTGGGTTGAATGGACTAATAGAACCCTGTTTCTTTTCCAGGTGTGGCCTCTAGAGCCCGACTCTGTCAGGACGAGCCTCTGCCCCTTTAGGGAGGGTGAGAAGACCAGGGCTGGGGCCAGGGTAGGAATGGTGTAGGTGGACACATGCTGGGCGCCCAGTGACCCAGCCCTTTCCTTGCAGATCCCCGGGCACACAGGAACCTCTGGCGTGCAGCCCGGCTGAGGCTACTGCCCCCCCGGGGCTGGCAGCTAAATGCACCCTGTTCACTGCTTGCTGAGGCCACTCTGTGTTGGCAGGCACCAGGCGGCGTCCCCTGCCAGTCGCTGGTCCCACCGCTGTCCCGAGCAAATGTCACTGTAAACGTAAGTGAAGCGGTGGGAGGCTCCTGGGATCAGGAAAGGAAGGGGAGCTCAGGGGAGCACATTTCCTGACCTCACCCATGACCCTTTTTTCCACAGAAAACACTTGAGTTGCCATTGCTGAATGCCCACCCCAACCTCTGTGTCCAGGTAAGAAGGGGCAAAAGAGCTCTGGGCTAGGGGCAGGACCCCAAGTGGACCCCCCCAGATAATTCACTGTCTTCTGGACCCAATTTATCCTTGGGTCACTGGAGCAAAGTTGTTATGGGCTACCTCTGGGAGTTGTACTATTTATTTAGCAGTGCTGTGGGACCCTGAGCAAGTCACTTCACCACTCTGAACATCAGTCTCCTCATCTGTTTAATGGGGATGATAGTAACTACTTCACAGTAGTGAATAAAACCAATAAATATTCCCACCCTATAGAGCTTATGTTCTAATGGAGAAAGACAGGGGGGCCTGGATGACTCAGTTGTTTGAGCATCTGCCTTCGGCTCAGGTCACGATCCCAGGGTCCTGGGATCGAGTCCTGCATTGGGCTCCCTGCTCAGCGGAGGAGACTGCTTCTCCCTCTGCCTGCCACTCCCCCTGTTTGTGCTCTCTCTCTCTGACAAATAAATAAAATCTTAAAAAGAAAATAGTGGAGCAAGACTCAGACTGAGTGAATAATACAGTATCCAAGTGGAGTGGTCACATGAGGCCTCTTGGTGAGGGTGGTTAGATGAGAAAGGAGTGTAGGAAGTGCTTTGCCAGACATGAAAAGAGCTAATGTAGGGTCATAAGACTCATTAGCACAGATGCCCTCACAAGGCTGAGGCTGAGAAAAACAAAGTATCTCTTAATCACCTAGCCTTGAACCCGATCTGCCTAACATTAGGTCCAGGATGCAGAACCCCGCGCCCACCCCGCCAGAGAGGCCTCCCCTTACTGTCCTTCTCTTCTCTTCTCTTCTTTGTGGCCTTGCCTCTTGCTTTTCCTGTGCCCCTAACCTTGGCTCCTTCTAAGCAGGTGAGCAGCTGGGAGAAGCTGCAGCTACAGGAGTGCTTGTGGGCTGGTGAGTGAAGCCTGGGGAAGGCTGGGGCAGGGCTATTGCAATAGAGGTGAACCCTAGAAGAGCCACCTCATGGGGGTGAAGGTCAGGCATGGGAAGGGGTGGGGGCAAGTGGCCGCCTCCAGCATAGTTGGGTCTCACTCAGAATGGGCTCTCACCCCTCCAGACTCCCTTGGGGCCCTCAAGGATGATATGCTGCTGGTAGAGACACGAGGCCCCCAGGACAACAGATCACTCTGTGCCTTGGAGCCCAGTGGCTGCACCCCACTACTCAGCAGGGCCTCCACGGTGAGGATGAGGGGACCCTCCTCCATGTACCTTTCCAGTTCCATCTCAAGCCTGGCCTCAAATTTCCCCTCCTCTGTGCCAGACCCTGTGCTGGCCTCTGGGAATGTGGGGGTGACTCAGACCTAGACCCCGTTCTTAGTGACCTCTTACAAGTCTCTAGCCCCTCCCCACCACTATTCTGCTCAGCTGCAGCTTGATGGTCTCCTAAGTGTGGTGCCCCTAAGTGACAGCCTCCCTTTGGCTTGGCAGAGGGCCGCTCGCCTTGGAGAGCAGTTACTACAAGACCTGCAGTCAGGCCAGTGTCTGCAGGTGAGTAGGTGGCAGGAGGGCCCTGCCCCAATGCCCAGGGCCAATAGGCCTAAAACTCTGTATTTAACTTCTTCCATCTCTTCCTGTGCCTAGCTGAAGGTACCAGAGAAACTCTCACTATTCCTAGGCAGGGGCCTCCTCACTGTCCCTCTAGTACCCACTCACCATCTATTTCTGCTTATTTTGTGTCCAGCCCTGGGGAAGCCAAGAATTGAAGAAGCATAGTTCCTGTTCCCAAGTTGTTCACTGCTGGCTAGAAAACAGTAAACAGATAACAAAATTCATATGTGCTAAGTATTGGGTTCCAGGGAGAGCTTCAAGGAAGGGTGATTTCACATGGGCCAGATCTGGCATGGAGTAGGCATAGCGTGATCAAAGGCAGAGCAGCTTGCAGGGACCTACTGTGTGTGTGTGTATGTGTGTGAAGTATGCATAGTTGAGGCTGGGCATTTGGAGATCAGGCTGGCCAGAACTTGGTGGGTGTTCTGGGGCTGTGGCCTTGGTTTTGTTTGTGTCTTACAGCTGTGGGAAGATGACCTGAGAGCACTATGGGCCTGCCCCATGGACAAGTGTGAGTATTACAAGAACTGCCCTTCCCCTCAGTACCAAGAGTTGGAATCTAGACATTCCTACAGGGCACGTGCAATGGCCTTGTCCTTCTCTGGCTCAGATCAGTCAGAGGGACATTCCTTCCTTCATTCAAAAACCAAGAAGAGAGCTTACAGAGATTCAAGCATCACCAAAAAGACACAATCCCTGTCCCCACCGCAGCCATAGAAGGCTAGAAGACATTAGCTAAACAATCACTTACATTGAGTAAATGTGAGCTATTGAAGCATTCACTATAAAGTGTCCAAATCCATAAATGCATATACTGGGGAACTGATTTAGGTGGGGTGAGGCCAGGAAAAGGTTCTGGCTGTTCTGAAGGCTGAGCTAGGTGAAGGGGGGAGAGATGCTTTTTTGAGGAACTCCAAGGTAGCCAGAGTGGCTGGAAGATCTTAGAAGGCAGACCTCTATCACAAGGATGCAAAGGCCATCTAGGACTTTGGGAGCTGATGCAAGGAATTGGATTTTTTTTTTTTTTTTTTGAAAGAGAGGGGAGGGGCAGAGAAAGAATCTTAAGCAGAGTCCACATTCATGATCTCACAACCTTGAGATCGTGACCTGAGCCAAAATCAAGAGTCGGACCCTTAACGGACTAAGCCACCCAGGTGCCCCCTTGGAAATTGGATTTTATGTTAAGAGCAGTGGGAGTTTCCTGAAAGGCTATAATCAAATTTGTATTTTAAAAAGATCTCTGGGGCTGCCATGTAGTGAAGGACTTGGAGGTAAAAAAGAGGTTAGGGACTCCAGTTAGAAGGCTGTTGCGGTCATCAAGAGAGTGAGTTCAAAGGCCCAGCAACCCTAGGCTCAGGAGACAATATTAGCTGACATTTGAGCACTTATATGCCCAGCATAAGTGCTTTGTGTGTATTAATATATGTAGTCCTCACAACAACCCTATGAAGTAGGTACTATTGTGAACCCAGTTTTACAGAGGTGAAAACTGAGGCAAAAGGTGAAGTGACTTGTCCAAGTTCACCCAAATAGATGGATCTATGTCCATATATTGACTCTGACACTATATGCTGTGGATTTGGGAGAAATCTTTCCATATTCCTCTGAGCCAGTTCAGTCACCACATGGCAGCCCCAGAGATCTTTTAAATGAGTTTGCTCCTTCGTGAAGTGGGTTGAAAGTGTGAGGTACCTAACTAGGCTGTCCTCTCCCCTGGGTCGCCTAGACGTTCACCAGCGCTGGGCCCTGGTGTGGCTGGCCTGCCTACTCTTGGCCTCTGTGCTTTTCCTTCTCTTCCTTTTCAAAAAGGACCACGTGAAAGGTGAGCACTTCCCGACCCCCCAGGGCTGGGAGTTCCCCTCGAGAAGGTGGCGGCGGAACTCATGGGCCGCCCCGCCCGTCTCCCCTAACAGGGTGGCTGAGGCTCTTGAAGGAGGACCTCCGCGCGGGGGGTGAGTGTGAGCAAGTGCCGGGCGGGGGGCCGCCCCCAGCGGGCCGGACCTCGGGCCCTCTCACGTCTTCCTTTCCCCTCTATTCTCTCTGGCAGCTGCCCCCAGGGGCCGCGCGGCTCTGCTCCTCTACTCGGCGGAGGACCCGGGCTTCGAGCGCTTGGTGGGCGCCCTGGCCTCGGCGCTGTGCCAGCTGCCGCTGCGGGTGGCCGTGGACCTCTGGAGCCGTCGTGAACTGAGTGCGCAGGGACCCCTGGCCTGGTTCCACGCGCAGCGGCGCCAGACCCTGCAGGACGGCGGCGTGGTAGTCCTGCTCTTCTCGCCCGGGGCCGTGGCGCTGTGCCACGAGTGGCTGCAGGACGGGGCGGCAGCGTCCGCCCCGCACGGCCCGCACGACGCCTATGCCGCCTCGCTGAGCTGCGTGCTGCCCGACTTCCTGCAGGGCCGGGCGCCCGGCCGCTACGTGGGGGCCTACTTCGACGGACTGCTCCACTCGGAGGCCGTGCCCGCCCTTTTCCGCAGCGTACCGGTCTTCTCCCTGCCCTCCCAGTTGCCCGACTTCCTGGGGACCCTGCAGGGGCCTGCCGCCCCCCGTCCCGGGCGGCTCGGGGAGAAGGCGAAGCAAGTGTCCCGGGCCCTGCAGCCCGCCCTGGACCAGCTGCTTCAGGCTCCCGGGGCTCCTGGGGACTGCACGCGGGATGGCACGTGAGGCAGGGGAGACGACTCGAATAAAGGCAGACGCTATTTTTCTACCCGTGTCTCTCGCATGTGTCTGTGACCGCATCGCTGGCCTAGCACGACGCCCGCGGCCCTTTAACACCCGGACAGGTGCAGCCCGGCACCGCCGGCGGGTGGCTGACGTGAGGTGACGCAATGGCACATGGACTGCCACCATTGGCTGGGGGGCGGGCCCCGCCCCCCAGGCTGCGGAGCCGCCCGAGGCGGCACGTCTTACGCAGGCAGCGGCTGCTGCGGCGTTGGGGAGACTGAGCGGTCGGCGCCAGCGGGCTGGGTGGGTCGTCTCTTCCTCCCACGCAGCCTACGCGGGTCTGGATCCTCCCCTGCCTGCTAGCGGCCGCGCTTTTGCAGCCTGCCGGCCGTGAGCCTCACCCCCTTCTCTTCCTATCCGGATCCGGGCTCCTCCCCTCTAGACCCGGGTTCCTTTCCGGACTCCTCCCCCCCGAGACCGCCCATCCGGCCTCTACTCCGCTAGTACTTGGACTCTGACCCATTCTCCCAAATTCCGCTGATCCTGGCCCTAATAACCCATATTCAGACTTTAAAACAATGAGTTGACTTCTTCCTTGCTAAGGATTCAGGCCACCTCTCCCACGGTGAGGAGGATAACTTATTCCCGTCTTGGAATTGCAGAACAGGCTCCTTCCTCACCACTTCCCCTCCCCCGGCTGTCCCCCCAAGTCTAGCCTCCTTATAACAACACACATCTGGGCTCCCAGACCCGCGGCACCCCCGAACCAACCCTCTCCTTTCTCACCTGGCTCCTCCAGTGAGTCATTCCCATTCCCTTTACAGGTTCCCAGCCTGGGAAAAGATGGCCTCATTGCCCCGGAGGGGCCTGGTCCCACCTCTGCTCTGGGGCTTGAGTCTCTTCCTTAGCCTCCCAGGCCCCGTCTGGCTCCAACCCTCTCCGCCTCCCCATTCTTCTCCGCCAACTGAGCTGCACCCATGTCATACCTGCCGGGGACTGGTCGACAGCTTCAACAAGGTGGGTGCACCAGCAGCCTTGTGGGAGATGGCCGAACCATGATAGCACAGGGATTTGAGAGGAGTTGTGGAATGCAAGTCTGCATGAGTCAAGTACCAGCTTGGTTGCTTACTAGTTGTATGACCTTGGGCAGGTTGCCTCTCTGTGCCTCAGTCCCCTGGTCAGTGAAATACTGAAGTGCTAGAATGTGCCAGGCACTGTACTTAGCTATTACTCATGTTCTCCATTTCCAGGGCCTGGAGAGAACAATCCGGGACAACTTCGGAGGTGGAAATACTGCCTGGGAGGAGGAGAAATTGTCCAAATACAAAGACAGGTAAGGGGCTGGAGAGGTGGGTTTGTATACCTCACCTCCCAATCTCTGCTCTACTGGTGGGAGCCTAGAGACTCTCAAATATCACTGAGCATCTGTAGTACAGCAGTAAATAAGGCAAGCAAAACCCCATCTTCACGGCGCTTACATTCTAGTTGAGAAGACAGTGAATAAGTAAATAAATAATGTCATACCAAGTGAAGAACAGGAAAGCAGGGTAGACTACAGAATGGTGGGGGTGGGGTGGAGTTCAAGGTGTGACGTTTGAACAGAAACCTGAAGTGAAGAAGCAAGCTATGTGACAGGGAAGGGATTTGGACAGAGCGGGACTGAGCTTGGTGTATTTGAGAAGAGGCTGGCTGGGACTGAGTAGACGAGAGTGGTAGAACATGAAGCCAGAGTGCCTGGAAGGTCACAGAACAGTGTTTAGATTTCGTTCTGAGTGTAATGGGAAGCCATTGGAAGGTTTGGAGCAGAGAAGTGATGTGGTCTTATTTTTACCTTTAAAAGATCACTCACTGCGATGTAGCAAAATGGCTGTAGGGGCTGGAATGGAGGAAGCAGGGAGACCGTTTGGGAGCTAGTGTGGTGTCTAGTGGTGGGCATGGTGAGAACGGGTCAGATATTAGGTATATTTTGCAGCTGGACTGATAGGGCTTGATGATGGAATCATTATGGGGTAGGAGAGAAAAAGAATAACAAGTACTTACTAGGTTTTGGGCCTGAGCAATATTTTCTGGTATGGGTGAAGGTGAGGCAGGAGAGGATTTGGCAGGGGGTGGGATTAGGTGTTCTTCAACATACTGGGCTGTGATGTCCATTATACAGCCTAGTAGAGTTAAATTTAGGTGTCGGAGGTTCAGGGGAAAAGTAGGAGCTAGAAACCCGAGTTTGGGAGTCATTAGCATAAAGCCATGGGATGAGATGAGACCATGAGATGAAAGGCCTGAGTCCTAGGCTCTCCTGCTCTTCAAAGTCAAGTTAAGGAGAAGGAATCAGCAAGATTTGGAGTTAGACAGACCTGGTTGTCAGTTCTGACCCTGTGTACCCTTGGGAAGGTCACTTAACCTCTCTGAGCCTCAGTTTTCTCATCAGTAAAATGGGGATATTAATACTTGCTTTGCCTATTTCATAGGATTGTGGTAAGGATTAAACTGTGATGCCCACTAGATACAAAAGATTTTGTTATTATGTAACATTGGTCATTTTCCTTTCCCTTAATGGACCTCAGTTTCCTCATTTAGGAATGAGGGGAATGGCCAAGGATAACCCGAAGGGCACATCTAGCTGTATAATGGCTCCTGTTTTTTGTTTGTTTGGTTTTTAAGTACTCTCCTCCTATATGCCAGGCACATGCCAGACCCTTTAAATACGTAATATATGTGTGTATGTATATATGTATTTTTAAAAAATTTATCGTAGTAAAATATATATAATGTAAAATTTACCACTGGAGACATTTAGTACATTTACAGTGTTTTGCAACCTTTACCACTGTCTCATTCCAGACCATTTTTAATCACCCCACAAAGGAACTTCTTACCTATTAAGCAGTCACTCCCCATTCTCCCCTTCCCCCAGCCCCTGGCAACCATTACTCTGCTGTCTGTGTTTGTGGATTTGCTGATTCCATTGGAATCTACATGTGTCTGGCTTCTTTCACTTAGTGTATTGTTTTCAAGGTTCGTCCATAACAGAACATATGTCAGTAGTTCATTCCTTTTGAAAGCTTAATAATATTTCATTGTATGGGTTTACCACATTTTGCTTATTCGTTTTTTAGTTGATGAACATGTGGGTTGTCTCTACCTTTTGGCTATTGTATATAGTATTGCTACAAATGTTTGTGTACAAGTTTTTGTTAGAACACCTGTTTTCCATTCCTTGGGGTATATAACCAGGAGTGGAATTACTGATTCATATGGTAATCCCATGTGTAACCTACTGAGGAAGCCAAACTGTTTTCCACAGTGGCTGCACCATTTTTCTTTCCCATCTTCAACGTAGGAGGGTTCTAATTTCTCCACATGCTTGCCAACACTTGTTATGTGATGTATTTTTAATCACATATACCCAGCAAGGGTATTATATTCCATTGTGCAAATGCAGGAACTGAGGTATCCTACAACAAATCCGCAGGGCAGATATTGTCTCCATTTTACAGATGAGAAAACAGAGGTTCAGGAGAGGTTAAGTGACTTGCCCAAGGTCACTCAACTAGATTCAAACCCAGTATCTGACTCCCCAAATCAGTACGCCCTCTCGCCTTCCCTTTGATGTCATGGCATGAGGGGGGTGGGAGAGGAGACCCTAAAGGAGGGTGGTGGATGGGGTAGAACATAGTCCTATCACCCCAACCTGTCTGGTCAGCGAGACCCGCCTGGTAGAGGTGCTTGAGAGCGTGTGCAGCAAGTCAGACTTTGAGTGCCACCGCCTGCTGGAGCTGAGTGAGGAACTGGTGGAGAGCTGGTGGTTTCACAAGTGAGTTGCTGGGGCGCTTCCCAGGGAGGGGGCCACAGGCAGGGCCTGATGGTAAAGGAGGGGGTTGCATGCTTGGGTCTATGTCCTGGTTTGGCTCCTTCTTCCAAACCTAGATCTGCTAAGGACTTGGGGGGGGGGATCCAGGTTCTCACTCTGAGCTTCAGTTTACTCCTCTGCCAAATGGGGAGAGGGTGTTGGTCAGGTAGCCTTATGGGTCTTCTATCCAAGGTGGGTTGTATCACAGATTCTTTGGGAGGCTGGGGGCTGGGCAGCAACTCTGGCACAGTCTCAGCCCCCCTTACTGTCATCCCCACCCCACCCCCACCCCCTTCAGGCAGCATGAAGCCCCAGACCTCTTCCAGTGGCTCTGCTCAGATTCCCTGAAGCTCTGCTGCCCCTCAGGCACCTTCGGGCCCTCCTGCCTTCGTGAGTTTTCAAGCTCCTCTCGGGGTATCAGAGGGGACTGCCAAAGCCAGGGATCCAGTCCTGGCTCTGTCCTATAGCTGGCTGTGTGAGCCCAGGTTGCTCAGATAATTTCTCTGGACGTTAGTTACCTGCTTCACAGGGCTGTTGAGATGAGCAAATCAGGGGGGAATGGCTGTGAAAAAAAGATAAGAGGGCTAGACAGTCAGATGGGACTGGGGTTTTTATCATGCCTGTGAGAAATGCCCCCACCCCCACCCCCATTTCCCATGCCTGGATCAGATCAGGCCCATCCCCTGGACTAAAGTGACCTCCCTGGGGACAGGCAGGTGCTGCTCTGAAGCCCCCATGGTCACCTTTTTCTACACACAGTCCTGAGGGAGGAGCTGTACCTACTACCAGCCCCTTTTAGAAAAATCTGTCTGGAAGCTTCAGATAAACACTTAGTGACACAAAGAATAAAAAATAAATAAACTGAAAACAAACAAAAAAGGGAGTTAGTGACAAAGATGATTAATTCAGTCTTTCTAAAAGGAAAGATCTGTAAATAATCTGTTCCACAGGAGGATATTGGTTAACAACGTGCCACACAAAGTATTATGCCATGAAAATTAAGTTTCCTCTCCAAAAATGTTTAATGATATGGGGGAATATTCTCTGTATTCACGATTGTATTTGTGATGTTACCTGGTTTGGTGTCTGCCCACAGCCTGTCCTGGGGGCGCAGAGAAGCCCTGCGGTGGCTACGGGCAGTGTGAAGGGGAAGGGACGCGAGGGGGCAGCGGGCACTGTGACTGCCAAGCCGGCTACGGGGGCGAGGCCTGTGGCCAGTGTGGCCTCGGCTACTTTGAGGCCGAGCGCAACTCCAGCCATCTGGTATGTTCGGGTAGGTAGCCAAGAGGTGCGGGGCTGGGCAGGAGCAGATGGGGTGCCTGTCTGCCCATCCTCACACTTTCCCCGTTGCCCCCAGCTTGTTTTGGCCCCTGTGCCCGCTGCTCTGGACCTGAGGAATCAAACTGTTTACAGTGCAAGAAGGGCTGGGCCCTGCATCACCTCAAGTGTGTAGGTGAGTGAGGCCTGGCCCTAGGTGTGGGGAGGTGGTCCCCATCAACACACACATCTCTGGGCTAGACCACCACAGTCCCCATCTTCATGGAGATCTCAACTTGGTTGGAAAGGCAGGCAGTTAGATTACAGACTCATCTTTGTGCAGTTAGAGATGTCCCTGAGCCAGCTCTGTGGTGGTGGGGAATCAGGAAAGGCTTCTTGGAGGAGGTATCACTTCGGCCGAGTCTTGAAAATTGAGGAAAGGATTAGCCAGGAAAATGAAGATACTTAACTTGGGGTCAGGAAGCCTGGGTTCAAGACTTGGTTTGGTCTCTGTCCTGCTATTTATATAGACGAGAGTAAAGGCTAAGCTGCTATAACAAAAAGATCACCAAAGACTGTGGCTTAAAGAATATAGAGGTTTATTTTTATCTCTTATCACAGTCTCGAAACAAGTGGTCCAGGTTGGCAAGGAAGTTCTGCTTGTTAGAATCATTCAGGGACCTAGTACTTCCTGTCTTACTGTGTGGTCATCCCCTGGGGATGTTTCTGTTGTTCGAGGTTGGGTTACAGGTACCCCCATGTTCCCAGACCTGACACTCAGGAAGTGAGAAAGGGAAGAAAGTGCATGGAGGAGTCCAATTCTGTAGTTTTAAGGCCGAGCTAAAAGTGGAGCACATCACTTCTGTTTACATCCTGTTGGCCAGAACTCAGGTTCAGGCCACACTTAGCTTTGAGGCAGATTAGAAAACGCAGTCTCTGGCTGGGCGGCCCGAAGCCCAGCGGCATCCGTGCATCCGCACAGCCCGCGCTCTCGGGCCCACTGTCAGTGTGGGCAGGTCCACTCCCCGACAACGCTGCCTCAGCTTCCCTGCCAGCGCAGTAGGGACTGAAATTCCCACCTTGCTGGCCTCTCTGCAGACATCGACGAGTGTGGCACAGAGCGAGCCAGCTGTGGAGCCGACCAGTTCTGTGTGAACACGGAGGGCTCCTATGAGTGCCGAGGTAAGTGCCAATCCTGTAGGGGAGGGGTGTGGGGAGGGTAGGAGGAGCTGCTCCATGCCTTTCCCCCCGAATTTCTGCCTTCTCAGGCACCGACCCATCCCCTCCCCTCCCACTCCCGACCTCTTCTGGTCTAGGGCTTCCCCCTCCGTAATCCACACTGGGCCCAAGGGCAGCTCTCAGCCTTTTCTCTCCTCTTCCTTCTCCAGACTGTTCCCAGGCCTGCCTGGGCTGCATGGGGGCAGGGCCAGGCCGCTGTAAGAAGTGTAGCCCTGGCTACCAGCAGGTGGGCTCCAAGTGTCTCGGTGAGTCTCCTGCCAGCGGGGCGCAGACACCGGGCAGTGCCTTGCCCACCACGAACTGAGAACAGCTGGGGGCATATGGACAGGGCATGGGAAGGAAGGGTGGAATGTTGTCTGGAGTGTCTGGATGTGAGTGAGATGGGAGTCAGGGCTGCTGTGTGTGGGACCCTGGCAGTGGGGGCCTGACCCCGCCTCACCCTCCCTCCAGATGTAGACGAATGTGAGACAAAGGTGTGTCCAGGAGAGAACCAGCAGTGTGAGAACACCGAGGGCAGCTATCGCTGTGTCTGTGCCGAGGGCTACAAAGAGATCGAGGGCATCTGTGTGAAGGAGCAGATCCCAGGTGAGCCCCCTAGTGGCCCCCAGAAGCCTTAGGAGGGGAGGTGCTCATCCAAGGGGCAGGCAGGCAAGCCCCTTCTCCAGGCAACCACAGGCCCTGCCCGATCCCCACGGCCACGCCGCCCCGGAGAGGCTGCACTGAGACCCAAACCCTACATCTTATTCCAGGCTGACTTTTAGCCACCTCACACCTCCCAAGGTAGAAAGAAAATCCCACTTGGTGTCAAATCACCCTACCTCCATTCTTATCTGTCCAGTGGGACCAGTCCTTGCCCTGGACTGCTGAGAGCGGTCGCAGGCCGTAGGTGTGATGAGATGAAGGACAATCACAGTGATGACAATAGGTACCACTTGCACAGCTCTCACCGTGTGTCAGATGCTATTCCAAGCATGTTGCATGTATTAACGTCCTTCACTTTTAAAACAAATCCAGTGTTGTTAGCGTTATTCTCATCCTCATTTTACACAGCGGAAACTAGGATGCAGAGAGATGAAATAACTTGCCCAGGGCCACATGACAAGCAGGTCGCAGAACTGGGAGTCCCAAGCCAGGCAGTCTGGCTCTGGAGCTGGGCCTAGTACACATGCTCTGTCCCGACTTGCCTACTACATGGCCTTGGGCAAACCTCTTTCCTTTTCTGAGCCTCAGTGTCCCACTTAGTGAGATAGGGATGACTGCCCCTGTTGGAGTTGTTCTCAGCAGTGAATGACATCGTGCGCCAGGCGGGCAGGTATGTGGCAGCAGTGATGAGGTATGTGGGAAGCTCCAGGAATAGGAGAGGAGTAACAGGTGCTTCTCTTGTTCTTCACAGAGTCAGCTGGCTTCTTCTCGGAGATGACAGAGGACGAGCTGGTGGTGCTGCAGCAGATGTTCTTTGGGGTCATCATCTGTGCGTTGGCCACACTGGCCGCCAAGGGCGACTTGGTCTTCACCGCCATCTTCATTGGGGCTGTGGCGGCCATGACTGGCTACTGGTTGTCGGAGCGCAGTGACCGTGTGCTGGAGGGCTTCATCAAGGGCAGATAATCCCTGCCACACCTGCAGGATCTCCTCCGATCCAGGCTGTCTCCAGAGGTCAGGCCTCTCTCCCGCCTGGACACTTGAGGCAGCTTGCTTTATATTTGAGCGGGGTAAGCATACCCTACCCACCAGGCCTGGGCAGGTGAGGCCCTTGGGGTGAAAAAGTAGCTCTAAATATGGATGCCTTGAGATCCTGGCCTGGGGGAAGTGGGCAGGCTTCACAACATGTGTGAATTTTTAAAAAGTATCTCCTTGCGATGGCTGCTGATGGGCTTTGGCCCCTGCCCAGGATGAGGGGGGTTCCCTCCAGGGGCGGGCCCGTCACAGCCCCTCCTGCCAGCAGCATGCCACAAGTTCCTGTCCCGTACTCACGCCCTGCCCCTCAGCCACTGGTTATTTATTCATCTCAGGAAATAAAGGTCTTGGAAAAGAGAGACGCTTCAGTCTCCCTGCCTGCCTCCTACTCCCCATCGGTTGGCCTGAGCTACTGAGAGCCCCTGCCCTTGGGGAAACTTTTGAAAACCCTGGGAAACTGAGGGCTATCCTGATGGATGAGCAGTAGAGGGAGGACAGAGAGGCTTGGCCTAAAGTAGTGTTAGGAGAAGGGGGATGGAGGAACCAGGCTTTGGAGTGGGACTCCTGGGTTCAGTGCCAGCTATCATTTGCCAAAAGACCCTGGACAAATGACTTTTGTCTCTGAACTTCACTCTTCCCATCTCTAAAACGGGCATGGTAATGCTTTCAACTCAGGCTTAATATGAGAAGTAAGATGATGGATGTGAAGAGCTGAAGACAGTGCACGACAGACAGATGTGCTATGAAATATTGGTAGCCGTTACTCCAGAAGCCTCCCAGGGTCAGCACAGCGTATGGCCAATGGTACTGGAATAGCCTTGTAAGGTGACAGACGGCAGCTACACTTGTGGTGTAGCTTTCCTTTTTAAGTCATCCCCTCCCCAACATACACAGAGAGGACTTGGGACTGCTGGAGGGTGGGGACTGCTACCTCTTCTCTGAACAGGATCCTGGCATGGCCAGAGGGAGGCATGAGCCAACTCCTAAGGGTTTATTTCTTTGGCACAAAGAGGAAGGTCATTCTGGACAAGCAAGCCTCATCTCTCCACACTGGGGAGCCTGGAGGGGTGTCTGGGGGTTCATGGACCCCATATCCCACACCCAAATCCATGCATGTCCACCCTGTATTCCGCATAAGTTACAGACTCTGTGCAAAATACCCGCTGGGGAAAAAAAAAAAAAGATTAAAAAAAACAAACAAAAGAACGGGGGTAGGTTCATGCCCGGCTGTTTCCAGGGGTGGCTGTCAGGTGGAAGCCCGGGAATGCCAGTTTTTGAAATGTTCCTCTGTCCTAATGGGCCACGCCATATGGCCATCGAGGGTGGGGCCCTGGTCCTGCATTTCTGGACCCCTCAGAGCTCAATGGTGTCACTGGAGGCGCTGCGGGAGTCCCCGGGCTTGCAGCGAGGCTGGACCTCGCTCTCAGGTTCCCCGGGCCGGGCGGGGGGCGGGGCAGGGGCTGGGGCAGGCAGTAGCTGCACCGTGCTGGGCAGCTCATCCAGGGGCAGACTGTCCACCGATGACAGCCCGTGACGCCACGGGTTCCAGCTGATCTTGAGCGAGCCCCGGGAAAAGCTGTCCATGGAGCTGCGAGAAGCCGCCCCGTCAGGGTCATCGGCGACGTGTGGCGGGACCGGGCCGCGCACGCGCACGTCGCTGAGAGAGTGGCAGCGGCCTCGCAGGAGCGAAGAGCCGGCGCCGTCGAGCTCGGCGTCGGGGTGGCTGCCCCGCCGCGGCAGCAGCGCGCCCCCAGGCGGCGGGGAGGCCAGGCCGCGCAGGCCGCAGCGCCGGAATACGCTGTCTCGCACCAAGTGCTCTCGGAAGAGCGCAGCGTCGATGCTGCGGCTCAGGTTGATGGGTGATGGCGGCCGCAGGTCCAGCTCGCTCATCGACGGCGCCGGCCCCACGCTGTTGCGGGACAGTCCCGGGCCACCCTGGGGGCCGCGGCCCAAAGACGCAGCCGAGCCCCAGGCGCCTGAACTGGGCGTGGCAGGCGGCCCACCCTCCGCGGGGTTGCGGATGAGGCTCTTGCTGATGTCCAAGCCGCCTGCGCCGACGCCACTGGGCCCCGCATAGCAGTTGTTGGGTCGCTCAGGCACCTCACTCTTGCCCGAGGGCGTGGGGCACGCCAGGCGGAGCAACTTCGCCCAGCAAGCGTGCTCCGTGGGCGGCCGGGGCCGCACGGCGGCCACAGCGGCCAGCGCCAGGGTGAGGGCCCATGTCAGCTCCAGCAGGCGCAGCCAGAAGTGGACGCCCCACCAGGCCCACGAAAAGCGACCCACCCGGCCTGGGCCCGGGTATAGCCAGAGCGCAGCCGCCAGCTGCAAGCCACTGGCCAGCAGCCCCAGCGCGCCCGCCACGGCCAGCAGCCGCGGGCCCGGGCTGGCATCCCAGCCCCGAGGCCCGTCCAGCAGGCGGCGACGGCAAAGGCAGAGCGTGCCCAGAGACACGGTCGCGCCCCAGGCGCACGACAAGCCCTGAGCCAGGAGGTTGAGCGCAGGACTCACCGACAGCAGGTCAGTAGTCAGCAACCCCACGCCGTGCACCAACGCCAACGCTCCCAGCAGGAGCGGGCTCTGCAGCTGCTGTGGCAGCCCCGCGCCCAGCCCGAGCAGGGTCAGGGCCGCCAGCGCAGTGAGCAGCAAGGGGAAGGGCAGGTTGTAGAGTACCAGGCCGGCGCGTAAGCCCAGACGTGCCTGAGAGCCGTACGGGTCGGCGAGCATGTAGGCAGATCGAAGCCCAGATGCTAGGAGCACCAGCACGGCCGCCACCAGAGCCAGCCGCGGCCCCGCAGGGGCGGCTGCCAGGGAGGCCAGTGCCAACAATGCGGGCAACAGGAAGAGCACCCCCACCCCATAGACGTGCAGCTCCCAGGAAAAGCTCAGCACCCGCCGCAGGGGACCCCAGCGCAGAGGGGGTGCGGTGGCATTGGCCGGGGGACTGGTGGCTGGGGCTGATGCCACGGAGCTGGCTGAGGGCTCCGGAGGGGGTGGCTGGCCCAGGGCGCGCTGCGTGGTGACCCGAATGAGGCCCCGGCGTGACGTCGAGGGGGCCTGGACTGGGGGTGCTGGGGGATGGCTTTGGGGACGCCCCGGCCACTCCTCGGCTTCATCTGCAATAACAATATCAAAATAGCCCTTTGAAAAGTGCTTTTGATTTTTCACACTCTCTAGTATGGTGGGCAAGTTATTTAACTTTTCTAAGCACATCTATAAAATGGGGATGGTAATAGCGCCTACCTCATTGGGTTGTGGGGAGGATTAAGTGTTTAGCATAGTGCCCAACACCCAGTAATGTTAAACGATGTGACCTACCGCTTGTACTAATAATGTACCAGCAGTTCTCAGCATTGGCTGCCCATTAGAATCACCTGGAGACCAAGTGAATCAGAATTCCTTGCGATGGGGCCTGGGTATTGGAATTTTAAAAAATCTCCTCCACTGATTTGCAGGGGTTAGAGAAACTGCACTAAATATATCCAAGTCACATTTAAGAATATTCTAGCCCCCAAAGGGCAAATGACTTGTCCCAGAGTACCCAGTGAGCATTAGTTTATTTATCCTGAGTTTTTTGAAGGAAGTCCTGGCCAGTTCCTTTAAGCAGGTGTTTGTCCCCATTCACTCCCTCCATAAACCCCACACAGGTTTTTAGTTATTAGAGTACCCACTGTCTCCCAAACCCCTAGCCATGCCCTCACCTGGCTGCAGGGCCCCCACAGGGCTCTCTGTTCGATTTGTAGCTGGGCCAGGGTCCAAGGGGCCAGGGATGAGGGACTTGGGGGTACCTGGGGTCTCCAATGCTCCTCTCACCCGCTGGGGGGAGATAGGGTCTGCTCCATTCATTGCTGCTATTTCTGAAATAACAAAAGCAGTCATCACTTTGCCTGACCTTCCAGCAGTCCCCAAGGTCTAATCCCCCAAAAGGGAGGCACAATCACCCTCATTTGCCAGAATGAGGAAAATGGTACCCAGATGGACCAGAGGTCACACAGAAACTGGGGCATCCAGTTACCCTGTAACACTGTCCCCCTCCCAGCACTGCTCAGCACCCTCACGTTGATACCCACCTGGCTTAGACCCATCAGGTGTCTCTGTGGCAGGGGGACCTGAGGGCTGGGGTCTTGGTGAGTCCCTAACATCAGGAAGATCAGCCTGTTTGGGCGAGGGGCTTGGAAGACTGACTTCCCAGGTCTCTTCACCTCTGGTCTTCTTGGGGAGCTCAATTGGCAGCTCCTCAGCAGGAGGAAGGCTTTTGGTCAATACCAGGTGTGGCTGGGACCGAGGCTCCTGAGAGGATGCCACCTCAGCTGGGGATACCAAGCCAACATGAGGGACCGCTGGATCCTGTTGGGTGAAGAGGGGGCCTCGAGCTGCCTCCTGGAAGTCCTCACCCCCACCCTGTTCTTCCAGCACTGGCCTCCTGGTAGTTCCCAAGTGGGGAGCAAGAGTGTGAGGAGGGCCCTGGTGCTCTAAGGGGGATATCTCTGAGACTCTGATCATGGCTTTGTCCACCAGACCCTCATCTCTAGGTGGTCGTTGCTCCACTTGGCCTCCAGGCTCCTCTGGCCCTGGGGAGGGAGGAACTGTGGCTATCCTAAGTTGGAGTCTGGGAGTTATGGGGATGAAAGTGAGATGGGGGAGGCCTACTGGATGGGGGGCTGGTGCTTCTTGCTCTATAGGCTCCTGTGAGTCAGGAGGTCCTGTCCAGCCATGAGAACTTGACCCTCGAGCCATCTGGAGGTCATCAGTTACTGGGAGTCCTCCTCTCTGAGCCCTGTGGGATGCTTTAGGTCCATGCAGGGCTGGGCCAAGGGGAGAGTCTGCAGGCTCCTCGGGTACTTTCTCGGCAGGGGCCTGGGGAACATTGGAGTTCCAGGGGCTCTCATCCCTGGACTTCTCCCAGAGGAAGTCGCGGGCCTGGGGCTCTGTGCCCATAGGGCCCTGGGGGTGGTCTCCTGGGATCAGATGTGGTTCCGAGTCCTCAAGTGGCTTGGGAAGGCCCTGGCCAAGGGCAGGGCCAGCCCCCTGGGACAGCAGCAGCCACAGCAGTAGGGGGCCACGGACACGGCCCCACGGGCTGGGAGCCATGGTCCACTCTGATGCCTGGGCCCAGAACACTCAACGTCCAGTCCTCTCTGGATGAGCCTGAAACAAGGAGAAGGGGGATGACTTGTGAACACTGGGAGTGCCCATAGATGCCCCAAGAGGGATGGTGGGAAAGAAAGAAGAGAGACACGAGAAACTCCCCTTCCCGCAGCCCCTTCCTGTTCAACCTCTTCATGCTGCCCAGAGTGACCTTTTAAAACTGCATCTCTGGTCATGCCACTTGCCCTACTTCAAAACCTTCAATGGCTCCCCATCACCCTCAGGAAAGAATATAAGTTCCTCTCCTAGCCTTCCAAGGCCACACCAGGCTGCTCACCTATCCTTCAATACCCACTGGGCTGTTCAATGCCCCAATCCTTTGCTCCTGCTGTTCCCTCAGCCTGGAATGCCCTCTCTCTTCTCCTTCACTGGCTGAAATCCTGTTTTTTTAATGATTTTATTTTATTATTTATTTGACAGAGAGAGCGAGAGAGCACAAGCAGGGGGTGGGGCAGAGGGAGAGGGAGAAGCAGACTCTCCGCTGAGCAGAGACCCCGATGTGTGGCTGGATCCCAGGACTCTGGGATGCTTAAGCTACTGAGCCACCCAGATGCCCTCTGAAATCCTATCTTCAAAGGCCTGGCTCAAATATCAGAGAGGTGGAGAGGGAGAGGGACAGAGCGATCTGGGTTTGAATCCCAGCTTTGCCATTTCCTGGGTGAGTTACTTCACCTCTCCAAATTGTGTTTTTTTCCATCAGTAAAATGGGTACCTAACTCAAAGGAGCTCTTACAAAACTTACCTAACAAAACACATTATAGGCCAGGCCCATAATAGGGGTTTAATAAGCATTAGAGCCCTTTTGCTTTTCCCTTTGTCCAGAAAGCTTTCTTTCCCACCAGCCCCCTTCACTATTTCAACAAATAATTTGAACGCATACTCTGTGCCAGGCCCTGGGGATAAAGCCGTGAACAGACCGACAAGATTCCTGCCCTCACGGAGCTGGCATTCTAGGGTAAGAGACAGACAATGACTAGTTTTAAATAAGGGGAGCTATGAAGAAAATAAAACAGGGTTAAGAGACAGACGGATGGGGGGCTACTTTACACAGTGGGTAGCAGGAGGCCTCTCTGGGGTAACATTTAAGCTAGATGCTGAATGAGAAGGAGCCAGCCATTTGAAGATATGGGGGAAAAGTATTTGGCAAAGGGAACAGAAAGTGCTAAGGCCCTGATGCAGAATGAACAAGTGAATTCAAGAAATGAAAAGGCTAGTGTGGCTGGAGCATAGCAAATGAAAGAGAAAGTAGCAGAGGGAGATAAAATCAGGAAGGTAGGGCTAGATCACAAGGGGCTTTGTAAACCACAGGGAGGCACCTGGATTTTATTCTAAGTATCACAGAAAGCCAATGCAGATGTTAAGCATGGGGGCAACAAGGTCTGGTAAGAGGGGCTCTTGGGTGGCTCAGTCGATTAAGCGTCCGTTTCTTGGCTTCGGCTCATGTCATGATCTCAGGGTCGTGAGATCAAGCCCCACGTTGGGATCCATGGTTAGCACAGAATCTGCTTGAGATTCTTTCCCTCTCCCTCTGCCCCACTCGTACGCACAAACGCGCTCTCTCAAAGAAAATAAATAAATAAGATCTTTAAAAGGGGGAGAGAGGCCAGTCCAGAAATCCAGGTAAGATATGATGGTGGCTCTTTTCAGCTTAGACATTTCTTTCCCTGATACCCCCTCTACCCTTTCCCATCACTCTGGCCACATAATGTAATCTCCTGTCTCCTCCACTGGCCTAGGGCTTCTCAAGGGCTGCATCTGCATCTTTATTTCTTATCTCCAGCCCCCTGCATATGCCTGGCCCCAGGTAGATATCCCCTAAAGGTTCCTCTTCCCGAGAGTCCCTAGTTAAGCCAGGGAGGCTGGAAGGGACCCGATGGCTAGGAGACAGAGGGCAGGAGCACAGCAACCATGAGAGAAGAGAGGCCGGGGTGTGTTTCGGAGCAGAAGCCCTGCTCCTTTTCTCCCTGGGAAGCAGGTGTGCCCAGAGCTCCCTGGCTCCTCATCCTTGGTGGTTCACATGCACCTTGAGAAGCCAATGAAAACTCCAGGAAATGCCCAGGTTCATCAAAGGTTGTGGACAATTTCAGGGGGTTCAAAGATCTCTTAAACCCATCCCCCAAACTGAGTTTAGATTCTGCCTTAAAGTCTTGTTAGTTCATTTCTCAAATGTTCACTGAGCCCCATGCTCTGCTCCTGGCCCAAATTAGGTGCTGGGGACCCGCAGAGAAGCCTCAGTTGGTGTCAGGAGTTGGGGCCAGCTGAGGAGGAAGGACTGAACGGCCACTAACGCATGTCCTGGTTAATAATAGTGCTCCTGTGTTGAGCACTTACCCAGTTAGGCTCCTGCGCTAAGATTAGCTGCGTGTCCTCCATGTCATCCAACCCTCCAAACCCAAGCAGGTGTGGGTATAACCATATCATAGGGGAAGAAAGCGAGGTTCAGAGAGGTTTAGCAAATCGCCCAAGGTCACACAGCCAGCGAATGGCCACACGAGGCGTTGTGAAACCCGCAATGGCTCATTTTGAACAGGGGGTCCAAAAGCTTTCCAGAGGAGACAGTTGATTAGGCCTTCAATAAGCATATGCCATCTGCTCACCACCCGCAATTCAAACGAGATGTAGGCATCTGTGGACAAGGAGGGGGCTGCCCAGTCCTGGGTTCCCGCTACAGGAGAGATTTTTTGGGTGGTGGGGTGAGGGATGGGGGTATCTCTCTGCCCTAGGGACTGGGGAGAGGCCGGCCTGGGGGCAGGGCGAGGGCCGCCGCAGGGCAGCCTCGGGAGCTGGTCCATCTCGGGTTACCTCTCCTCCTCTGGCTTCTCTCCGCTGGCTCCGCGCCTTCCCGCAGTGTCCCGGGTGGGGGTGGGAGCTGGTGCAGGCCCTGCCACTCGTGCCCAGAAAGGGGGCTGCCGGCCACGCTCCCTGCCTGGGCCCCGCCATCGCCCCCTCCCTGGGCCAGCTCCTCACCTGGGCGCCGCGCCGGCAGCCCCCGCGTTCACCTTGCGCGCGTCCCTGCAGCCGCTCGCCGCGCCGCATCCTCCGAGATGCTCAGACTTGGCTAACAGAGCCCGGCGCTGCCGATCGCGGAGCCCGCCCACAGGAAGGCCATCCCCGCTTAACCCTTTCCCCTTAGGGGTGGATTCTTCTCCCAGGCCCGACCTCCCCTCTCACAGAGATTCTCAGGGCTAAGAGGGGAACCGAGGTACCTCCGAGAGATTTGGAAATCCCTTCCGCAGCATCCCTGAATAAGGGACAGCCAATCCTGGTTTGCACACCCCATGGGACGTGGAGCTCACTTCCTTTATACATACATACATACATATATATATATAGGGATACATACACACATACCTACCTATAGGGAAATCCTACCTACAGCTTGCTGTTTATCCCTCAGATCTTTTTCTTTATTTTATTTTACTTTTTTAAATTAGTTTCAGAGGTAGCTTCAGATCTTTTTCAATGCACAGTCACATATACGTTTTAAATAGAAATGAGATCATACTGTACATACTGTTCTGTAACTTGCCTTTTTTCTCTTCACTGTGAAATATATCCTGGCACATTTTCCATGTAAATTTCTACAGATCCATCTTATTTCTTGTATCTGCTGTTAAGAACTGAAGCATATAGGCAGCCTGTAATTTTTTATTGATGCAGTCCTGAGGTTGGACATGTAAATTGTTTCTAGTCTTTTGCTAGCAGGAATAATAAAGCAGGGACCATTCTTGCATAGACCTCTTCGTGCACAAGCACTAGGTGTATCTATCAGATAATTTCCTACCTATGGTATGGTTAGACCTATGGGTCTGCACATTTTCAGGTCTGATAGACACTCAAATGTCCTTGGTTCCTCTTTGGACAGCTCCTGATGTACTAAATGTCCACGATTGGGTTCAATAACATTAAGAGAAATCTACACAAGGAATAGATGCGGTCATTAAATATGATGTAAAATCCTTAACGCCATGGAGAAATGTCCAGGATAGATTGTTGTTTATTTATTTAAATTTCAGTCATTTGATATAAAAATGATATATGCTGATTGTCCCGAGTTAAGTGACACAGAAATGTTCAAGGAACCCACATTCACTGTCTTACTCTTGGCCTCTTCAAGTCGGCCTCCCCAGATGTGCCTGCTGTTAGCATCATGTTGCTTCTTTTAATTAAAAACATACATGTGCATGTCTTTCTTTTCACAAAAATGGGACCATACTATGCATATTATCCTATAACTTGAGTATTTTTTTTGCCTTAGGCAATATATGTTGGAAAGATTCTGAAAGCAATACATACATATTACCTGCACCCTTTTCCTCCAAGTAGCCACGCGGTGCTGCACGGTGTGGGTGCGTTGTCATTTACTCACACTCCCAAATTCCCCTACTGCAGGGGATATAGCTGGCTGACAGCTATTTTTTTTCTACTAGAAACAATACTGCAATAAACATCCTTACATACCAACACATACATCTTTACATGGTGATTCTCTAAATCCTCTCAGATAATTATTTGTGTGATCCCATTTTTGTTAATATCTATCTATCTATCCTCTATCTACCTACCTACCTATCTATCCTATTCCTAATTATTAGGAGGTAAATAGTGGTTGATGTGATTTTATCTAATTTCGCTTTTCTCTTTACCAGTATTTTACACAACTGTGTATTTCTTTTGTGATCAGAGACAGGAATGATAAATATCATTTTAAAAAGAAAGACATTCTTCCTAAGGTTGAGCTGAGCTTACCCCCCAGTACTTGCCTGGGTCTCTGGGTCTCACAGAAGAGCAACACCCAGCCCTCAGCTGTGTCTGACATGCTGCAGGTCGAAGCATGCTCAGAGGCTGAATCAGGCTTTTCGGACTCTAGGAGAAGGATTGGGCTTTTCCCAGTTCACTTTATCATCTGACCAGCTCTACTGTTTTCTTTGTGGGAACCCCTTCAGAATTATAAAGACACCTCTCATTTCTCTAGAATTTTCTCCCTCCAGGCCAAACCCTCCGGGGTTTTTTGACCTTTCCTCAAAGGACAGGATTCTGGGCTCTCACCATTGTGACATCTCTCCTCTGTTGGCTTCTTCCCTGGTTAACAATGTCCAACTTAAAGTATAACTCTTGAAGGGGGACCTGGGTGGCTCATTCAGTTAGGTGTCCAACTCATGGTTTCATCTCGGGTCGTGATTTTAGGTCGGGCCCCGTGCTCAGCATGGAGGTTGCTTGAGATTCTCTCCCTCTCCCTCTCCCTCTCCCTCTCCCTCTTCCTCTGTCCCTCCTGCTCTTGCTCTCTCTCTCTAAAATAAACAAATAAATATTTTTAAAATAAAGTATAACTCTTGGAACTGAACCCAGTTAGGAACAAAGCTGGACTTTCACCTCCCTTCCTAGATTCTCCTCCATTAATATGGGGGCCTCACACTGAATTAATGATTCTGGCAGCCACATCCCTTTGTTGCCCAATATTGACCTACTAGGTCTTCCCCGCCTCCTTGTATTGATCTACTAGGTCTTCTCTACTTCTTTGTGTGCAGTTGGTTTCTTGATCCTCAGTGTAGGACTCAGCATTTGTTTCTTGTTTTTTTTCTCTTGTTAGATCTAGTCAGTTGTTCTGATCTTGTGGGAAGTCATCTGGATCCTGGTTCTATATATAATAGATAACTGGCCTTTTTTTTTTTTTTTTTTTAGCATTGCCCAAGATCCAATTCTCTTCCTGGTAACATCGTAATTTCCTTCTCCCTCGCGGGCAATCTTGTAGGGAGGGTAGCTCTAGGGGTCCACTACAGAAGCTGAGGAGTCCAAATCCCTCCTCTCATTGCCTCCTGTGAGCTCTCTGGTGAGACTTCTTTGGAGATGTTGAGATACTGAAGCTCAGAGAGCTTAAGTAATTTCTTCAAGGTCACACAGCAAGTTGAGATTCCCCTAGCAGGCTCAGAGCTGGCCTGGTTCCCTTCCTCGGTTTCCCCCAAGGAGGACTACCCATTCATTCCTGCAAAGTCTTACTGGCCTGACAGTGCCCAACCCCCAGTCCACAGAGGACCATCCAGCTGCTCCCGGCTTGCTCTCTTTAGAGACAGGAGCCCCAATCCCATTGTGTTTCCAAACCATGGATTGGTAGGGGTTTTAAGATTCCAAACAAAGGCAAGAGAGATTATTATCCCTTTGGCCAGAGGCCAAGATGAAAGCTGATCCTCTGGAAAGATGAGACTGGCTGGGGGTAGAGGTGAATATAAGTGGGGAACATGGACTGCCAGGTATAGGTGGGGAGTATCCTGGCTCCAAAAGCAGCTGCCGGCATCATCCTGGAGACTCTGGGAGGGCAGTGATGGGTGGGGGATGATTTAAGTATACAGGAGATGGTCAGTAGCTCCGTCTCCGAAGCACTTAGTGGGTCAGGGCTATGCTACACACCTTATTACATGCATTATTCTTTTTAAGTCCTCATGACAACCTATGTATTATTATGCTCTCCATTTTACAGTTGCCAAACTGAAGCTCAGAGAGCTTAAGTAATTTCTTCAAGGTCACACAGCAAGTAGGAGGCCAAGCTCTAAATCTGACTTTAGAACCAGCACTCTTAATACTGATGGCACCATCCTGCCCCTGAGGCACCTCCGAGAGGGGAGGTGGTGAGATGAACGTCCCAGGCTTTCCAGGTGGCCCTGCTGTGTGTCTATGAAAATAGGCCTCCAACTTGGACTCTCCTTTGAAGGGACTTCAACAGGGTTTGGGAGTTGCTGAGAGCTCCCACCCAAAAGTACCTTGGGAGGTCTCAAGGAAGGGGAGAGCGAAGGAAAAGGCAAAGGTGTTGTGGCTGGCAATGCTGAAGCCCCCTCCCTAGACATGCCCAGGACAGTTGGCTGGCATTTCCATCTGGCTGGCCCCTGGCAGGCATGAGCAAAGAAACAAAAGGCAGAACAGGTGGGAGAGGGTGCAGCCTGGCGAACCTTCTCTGTTCTGTGCCCGCTGTCCTGTACCGGGGTGGGGCAGGTGGACAGGTCCACTCTTTTCACTAAACCTGCCAAATTCAGCCTCAAGGGTTCCTGGAGTTTTAACTCATTCTTTCTCAGATGTTAACCTCCATGGATATCAGCTAAATGAACCTTTTAAAAAGATACTTTTTGTGTTAATAAATCTGATAATCTGGTATATACTTTAAAACCAGCTGTCCCCTATCCCATTCCCTCTCACTTCCAATTCCTTTCAACTCTTTCTGGTATTTCTGATTATTTCTTCTGGTTTTTATATCTATTCTCTAAGTGCCAGATGTGTACTGCTCATATTAATTTTTTTTTCAGTTTTAGATTTTTACCTATTGATTACCACCAAGGAATATGAAGATTTACCTTTTCACATTTCCACATTTTTCTGTACTGCTTTGATTTATATCATTATTCTACATTTACAACCCTAGAACTGTGAAACAGTGAGTCAGGCTGACTCAAGAGGTGTACTGTGATTACAGTTCTTTGCTAGATGTTCTGTTTTCTCCTGGGGTAGTCCTTGGTTTTTTATTTGTTTAATTTTCTGGGCATCTGTTACTAATTCAGTCTCCTAAATCTTTTCTTGAAATGAAAAACAATCTAAAGATTTGATTTCCCATCAAGATAAGAATACTTTCAAAAAGACTCACAGAATTCTACAGAGAATAAATGGCTTGAAAAATGGGTGGTGGTGGGGGGACCAGTTTAAAAGAGATTTAAGAGACTTAGCAATCAAATGTCATGTGGGAGCCTTTTGGGATCCTCATTCAAACAATCCAACCAGACAGAGACATTTGAAGATAACAGGAAATTTGAACATGATTGGGTCTTAGAACATACTGAAGAATGTCTAATTAGGTAAGATGATGGCATTGTGGGTTATGTTTTAAAAATTCCTTATTTGTCAGACATACTAGAATATTTTTTTAATACTGTTTTATTTTATAGAGAGGTGTAGGTTCGAGTGGGGGAGGGTCAGAGGGAGAGACGCAGACTCCCTGCTAAGCACAAAGCTGGATGTGGGGCTCGATCTCACAACCCTGAGATCATGACCTGAGTCAAAATCAAGAGTCGGACGCTTAACCACCTGAGCCACCCAGGTGCCCCAACTTACTAAGATATTTATGTGTGGAATAATAGTGTATCTAGGATTTACTTTTAAAACATTAAAAAAAAAAGTGGGTTTGGGAGATACATGGAAGAATTGGCAAAATATTGAGAATTATTAAAGCAGAGTGGTGGATACATCATTATATTATTCTTTCCACTCTTGGATATGTTTGGAATTTTCCATAATAAAAAATAAGAAATGAAAAAGAAATTCACAAAGAAATGGGAGAAAGGAAAAGGTAGCACAGGGCTGGCTG